CCAAAAAAACTCAGAAACAAAAACCAAAATAATCAAACCAAACCAAAAACTTTTGTCTGGAGCCCGGCACAGTAGTGCAGTGCATGTCTGTAATTCCAGGATAAGGAAGTTGAAGCAGGACCATGGGTTTGAGACCATCCTGGGTCAGGGGCTGGAGGTGAGGGAGGAGAAAGAAAAGGGAAGATTATCATATCTTGAAAATGTATATTTCTTTATTTTCTTTACATAAAAAACATTTATTTTTGCTTGTGTTATTCTGAATACTCTAGAAACAATGAAGTGTTCTAGGTGATGTGCATATGTTCTAGGCTCTATGTAAATACTTCCCTGTTCTGAGGGATTTCAGTATTTGCAATTTTGATAGCCTCAGAGGGTGCTAGAACCAATCTCTGAAATAACAAGAGATGGCTCTATTTAATGTTCACTCAACTTTTTCCTTCAAAAAAAATAATATTTTGCTCTTTTTTGTTCTTTTGCTTTGAGATAGGGTTTCTCTCTGTAGTCTTGGCTGTCTTAGAACTTACTCCATAGACCAGGCCAGCCTTGAACTCAGAGATCCACCTGCTTCTGCCTCTTAAGTGCTGGGATAAAAGGCATGCAGCATCACACCCAGTGCTTTTTTTCAACTCTTCCTAATCCTTTTGGCATCCTCAATTCAGGGATTGTTCTAGGAACAGTAACACCATGCATATAAAACTCAGTCTTGCTCTGAGCTCCTTCTTCCTTTTCATTGTCTGCTTAGAGACTTGTGTACTGTACAGATATGCATCAGGAAATGTTTCAAAGGCATGGCAAAGGTTAAAGATATCTTTGATTAGCATTCCTGTTCTTAGTGCTTTGCCATATCTTTTCTCATTGCACATGCTCAAATTGTTTAGTAGATGCATGCCACTTTGAAAATCATATTGAAATTCCAGATGATAAGGCACATGGACCGGCTGTCTGTTCACAAATTTCATATGCCATTGAATATACAGCACAGAGCAGTGTCAGAGGAAAATAAAATGGCCTGAATATAAAACACACACACACACACACACACACACACGCAGACAGACAGAAAGAGAGAGAGTCAGTAATGGACTACAACACACTGAACCCTATTACATATTTTATTGAAAATACTTTTTCCATACAATATATTTTGATCATGGTTTCTTCTCCCCATTTCTTCCTAGATCCACTTCCAACTCCATATTTTCCTTTTTTCTCTCTCTTTAGAAAAAAAGGCAAATTAAAAAAACAAACAATCCAGAATAAAAAAACAAAAATAAAAAGCACGAGAAACACACATACAACATACACACAAAAACCTATAAAAACACAAATTGGAAATCATAATATATAATAAAAAGACCAGCAAGAATAAAAAAAAAATGCCAAAACAAAGTAATAGGAAACAAAAAAAAATCTACAAAACTATCAATAAGTTTGTTTTATGTTGGCCATGTATGCTGAGCATGGGACCTATACATACTTAAGTGTGGTTTACCTACCTAGTGTGATTCCATTGGAGAAAACCAATTTTTCCTTTGCAAGCAGCTGCCAATTAGAGATAGCTCCTTGGTTAGGGATGAGAGCTCATGTCTACCTCTTCTCACACCCACCTGGTGCTGGGGTCTGTGCATGCTACCATGGTTTCTGAGTTTTTACGTCAGTCAATCCTGACTCCTTGGTGTCATCTATCCCCTCTGGCTCTTACAATGTTTCTACCACCTCTTCCAAACAGTAGCCTGAGCCCTGAAAGGGGTGGGGGTGGGGGGTCTGATGAAAATACCCATTTAGGACTAAGTGTCCCAAAATCTATCACTCTCTGTACATTGTCCAGTGTGGGTCTCTGTATTAGTCCTATCGAGTGCAAGTGGATGCTTCTCTGATGCTGGCTGAGCACTTACCAATGAGAATAGCAGAATGTCATTAGGAGTCATTTTGTTGCCATGTTCCTTTAGCAGAACAATACTTTGATTTCCCCCTAGACACACGGCCTATCTAGTCTCAGGTTCTTGGCCACTTGAGAGGTATTAATCATGAATTACATCTTTTGGTATGGGCCTTACATCCAATCAGATAGTGGTTGGTTACTCCCACATTTGTGCCATTATTATCCTAGTATATCACACAGGCAGGTCACTGTTGTAGATCACAGGGTTTGTAGCTGGGTTGGTGGTTACCTTTCTTCTTGATAATATGAAGAATAGCCTCCACCACCACAAGCACTAGTCAGTAGAGGTGGAGGCTCTAGTTAGAAACCAGCTCCACTTCTCCACGTTCAATGAGCTATGTAGATGCTTGTGGTATAGCATTGGTAATACTAGCCTGAGTTGTTTGGGGTTTCCATGGTGCTTTTGACCAACAATTCATTAGATCTACCAAGTAGGTACTTAAGTTCCACTTGATGGTGAAAATATCAGGCTAATCTCATTTGAATTCTGTAATGTCAACTCCTGCTAAATTAAATTTTAAGAGGTTTTCCTTCTGTAAAACAAAATTTTTTGGGGGGTAGATCATTGATCATTTGAATAAACATGATAACAATATCATTCTGATTTGGGATCATTCTGTTAGGAAATCAAATATCCTTTGGCTTAAAAGGTTCCATTACTTCCTTGCTTCTTTTCTTCCTCTAGCATTATGAGTTGATGTCCATCAGGTCCTCCCTGGACCATATACCATGCAGAAGACAAAACCAGGAATACAGCACCTCCTACACAATACTATCCTAAATGTGTTGTGCTTCTTTACTCATTATATCTATTATCTAGATTCATATCATTTTGCAGATGAGGTAACTGAGGCACAAAGGACAAATCTGCTATTACATATTTTGTATGCTCACTTAGTTTTCAGAGGTTCAGTCCATTAGCATCCTGACAGGAAGCTGACTGAGATACTGGGCCATACCCTCAGCATAGGAAACCTCAAAGCCTGCCCCCACAGTGACACTTGTACTTAGCCCCAAGCAACACTGTACTTTTAACTCCCATACTGCATGAACACATGCTATGAGTTTCACACCTTATGGGATGCAGCCCCAAGCCCCAATTCCTACCTTCCAACTGCCATATTGCATTGACACATGACTGTTCCACCTCATTACATTTTGTTTATCCCCAGAAAACTCTATAAAGGGCAATATCTAGCCAAAGGGACCCATTCTAGCTCAAGGAAACATGTTTTTTTTTTTGTTTGTTTGTTTTGCTTTTTAATTTTAAATTTCTGATTTTCTCTGAGATAAGGGATAATTGTGGATTAGTTTAATTGTGTGTGTATCAGAGGTTTCTGAGACCACCCCACATATTTGGATTTGCTGGAATGCACAAAACTCACCAATCAGTTCCTTTCATTATTGACTTATTAGAGTGAAAGGATCCAAAGCAGAGCGAGCAAAGGGAAAAGGCACATGGGTCCAGGGAAACCAGGGGAAAGCTTCCAAGAATCCACACTGGAGTCACAAGAACTGAAACTGGGTCTCCAGCAAAGTGCTGTGACAGCTCATGTGATGTCCACAAGGAAGCTTGTTAAGAGTCAGTGCCAAGGGGTTTTATGGAGTGACTCACAGAGGTTGTCCCCGATCCACATATACCAATATTCTGGGTACCTGGGGAAAAAGTAGGGCTCAGCATAAACCAATGTTTGCAGAGTTAATGTAAGCACAGTGAGCTACTGAGATCAGTGCTGGCCATAGTGGAAGTCCCTGAAATTCAAGTTCCCAGACAATCAATGGCCAACTCAAAAGGTCTGTTTCTCAGGATGTTCTGCTATCCAGGTGTAACACTTTCCTGCACAGGAATTTTATCACCGCCTTTTTCTTCAATGCCTATAAATACCTGTTTTTTTAAACTGTTCTTTGAACCAGGGTTACCATCTGCTGACTCCCATTTATAAGTTTTTGACACATACTCATTTTGTGAGTCAACTTTTCAACTTAATAATTCAGATAAACATAACTTTTATAGTAACATTTCTTGTTTCCTTACTGGCTCTACACTTCTGCCATCCTAAGGTAGAAATCACCTGACTTTGCACATAGATTGGTAGAAAGTATTCTTGAAAGCAGAGCTAATACAGAAAGATCATTTTTCTCTTCAGTCTTAACCAATGACTGTAAAAATAAATGCATTATTAGATAAGTGCCATTTAAATATAAGACATGTTTGCAGGAAAATGGGTAGAACTGAGATTCTATAAAGTGAAATACATTAGATATGGTGTTTTCTCTCACATGTAGCACGTAGATTTAATTTAAACACACATATATTATATGGCTGGAGAAAGTAGACTACGTCAGAGAAGAGTCTTCTTAAGGTGGGGGGAGGGGAGCACGAAAGGGTAATGGTGGGAGATTATGTTGTCTCTCACAGAGAGATGTGACTTGAAGACAGAAAGGTGATTGAAAAGAGAAAGGGTATGGGGAAAAGCAGAGTGAGACAGGACAGAGCAGTGGGATACGTATGAGTGATGTACAATGATAAAATTGAGGTGTTAGAAATTATAACTGGCTGGGCAGTGATGGTACACCTTTAATCCCAGTACTTGGCAATCCCAGCACTTGGGAAGAGGCAGCTAGATCTGTGAGTTCGAGGCCAGCCTGTCTACAAGAGGTAGTTCTAGGACACCTACCCATTATTTTATATAAAACTAAAAACAAAACAAAACCTGGAAGACTTTCATAAAAATGACAATACGAAATTTAGAAATACCTTTTACGTCACTATAAAAGTTAACCTTAAGAAAATTAAATAGTAATTTTAGTTTCAAATACAGCATGGTAGCCTCATTGTTTCAACTTTATTGTGCTTCAGACATTTTTAGAATAATTTCAAAATTTATTGCAATAAATGTCTCCCTCTATTTTGTGAATGGCATTTCAAGATCAGAATTTTACAAACTTCCACATATAATGGTACCAAACAAAAACCAAAATATTCAAGCTTTACTGAAGTAGAAGGGAACACAAGAGCTGGCACTGCTAAAGTATATGTAAGAAAGGTAAACATCTCTTGAATAAAAAAATAGGTACTATTTTAATGGGAAAAATATCAAAGATAAAAGGAAGGACAAAATTTTCCAAACAGCAGCTAATACTTTTGTCACAATTTGTGTATTTGTGCAAAGACATCATTAAATAAATACTTAGCGGTATTTACAAAGGAAAAGTAAGAGGGAACCCTAATGTGTCTGGGTCTTTGATTTACTACCATTCTTTCAATCTTCTGGATGCATTAGAGTGCATACCAATCACAAATGTGATTCTAGTTAACTGTAGTTGAGAGCTTGTCAATCAAGTCATCAATAGTGCAAACAAGCAAATGGATATCTGCTTTTTCCTTCATTCTATGGTCACCGTGTTTCCGGAGGATGACATCTACATCTGGGCTGACTACTCGGTCAGCCACTTGCAGAGATGTGTGCCAAGGAACTATGTCGTCCTTCATGCCATGGAGCAAGCGCACAGGGCAGGTCACAGGGATGGGGCTATGTAACAAGCAGTGGTGTTCCGCTTCTTTAATGAAACTGTATGGAATGTGGTAAAATCCGTCTTTGCTGTATTTAGATGGTAAGGACCACTCCCCTTTTGCTTCTATCTCCTTTTTCGCCTAGTGGGAAAAATAAAAGCAGGAATATGAATAACCCAGGGGCAGAGTCTGAGAAAGGCAGTCCTTAAGTGACAGGACAGAGGCAATACAGGAGCATTAAGAGTGATCACCAAAAATTGGGCCAGATGGGGTGCACCTTTAATCCCAGCAACCTCTAGGTAAAGGCAGGCAGATCTGTCAGTTTGAGGACAACCTGATCTACACAGCCTGTTCAAGTTCCAGGACAACCAGAGCAACACAGTGACCTCATCAAAAGAAAACATAAATTAATTACTACATGCAAGGCACATTATACATACTACTTCATGCAGTCCTGGAAATAATTCTGTAATTACTCTATTTTTATAAAAGAAAAAAGGCTTATTGTTAAAATCATATTCAAAGTCCAAAGACAGAAACTGTTTTAGCTAGCAATCAAACTCAGATTTCCCTATCACTCAAGTCTTTATGGCAAGTTCTGCTTTACCCCGACTGAAAGGGGAGATGGAAGGTAGATAAGTACAGCAATTTCTGGGAACTGGTCTCAAGACAGTGATGTTTATACAAAGCAAATCTTAGGATAATTGTTTTTGAAATTTCAAAACAATCAGTCACTTAATTTAGCAATTTAGGTTGAAAGAAATTGTTGAAGTGCACAGATATACCTCCCAGCACTCCAGGGGTGAAGATTTACTGGTTTGGGTAACAGAAGCCTTGGAAATGCTGAATAATGTATTTCTCTATATTATGATAAAATGAAACATTAACATATCTTTGAGGACTGATTTTTAAATTTCATTTATTTACATTCAATAATTTTTCTAATTAAAAATTGGAATTTTCTGATTGGAGGGATGGCTCAGCAGTTAAAAGTGCTTCCAGCTTTTACACAGGGCCTAGCTGGGTTCCTAGAACCCACATTGGGCACCTCATGGTCTATAACTCCAGCTCCAAGGGATTTGACACTCTCTTTAGGTCTTCATGCAGGTTTATGCAGGTATGTGCAGTTAAGGTATTGACATAATACCTTATGTCATAAACATGCACTGGCATGCACACACAGAGTTAAAAATATTTTTCAAAACCTGGAAACTATGCAAATCATAGAAAATATATAAAAGTACACTAAAAATCACTATAATCCTACCTTATGGCTATATTATTATTCTGATTTTCTTCCAATAGTTTTCTAAATGTTTTGTTTTTAAGTTTATAACATATAAAACATATTATCAATTATATATTTACATAATTCCAATTTTTTACTTATTTAGTACATGTATTTTAAGCTTCCATGAAAAGATTTTAAATGCTTATAAATTCCCATTTCCAAATTATTAAAAAAAAAATCACTGACATTTTATATCTGAAAAATACATGAATCCATGTTAGTATCACAAATGCAAAATAAGTTAAAGAAAAAATTATTATCCTCAAACAACACTGTACTATACCCCAGCAGTGAAAACTTTGTTCCACCTATGTTAATTATGAAAATACTGATTAGTAATTTTTATTTTAAACATCCCTGATCTTCACTTGTTATCTGCCCTCAAATGGAAGGAACAGTTATTTGAAGAACAAAGTTTTTCCAACTAAACTCTAAAAAAGTTTGGCAATAAGTAAGATGGCATTACCCAGAGCAACTATATAAGATGCATGAGTTGTACTCTCAGAAGCTTGTTCAAGGCAGTATGGTTTTTAGCTGGTTAAATTCCAAATGCCTAGGAACTCTGTCTGTGATCCTCTAAAACACAAAGAAGACAATGACCATAGACAGTTCTTTCTGGATAATAATGAGAAATACTGCACACGACAGCCCAAAGCTTTGGGAAGTTGGCAAAGTTCTCCACTTTGGCTCTCTTGACATCTTAGGACCAGTGGTTTAATGGGGAGGCAGGGCTCCCAGTGTCCCTCTGCTTTCTTCTGGGCTGTTTGGTTTTATGACAGCTTGACAAAGGCTAGAGTCATTTGGGAAGAGGGTCTCCTAGCTGAAAAAAATGCCTCCCTAATTAATACTGGCCTACAGGCAGTCTATAGGGCTTTTTATTGATTAATGACTGATGGGGGAAGGACCACTCACTGTGGCTGCTGCCAAACCTAACAGTCCTGAATTGTATAAGAAAGCATGATGAGCAAACCAAGCACAAGCAAGAAGCCTGTCTCTGTGGCTTTTGCTTCATTCAGTTCCTGTTTTCAGTTCCTGGCCTGACTTCTTCCTCAGTGACAGAGTGTGACCTGATAGTTGTAAGATGAAATAAAACATTCCTTTCCTCCCTAAGTACTTTTGGTCATGGAGTTTTATCACAGCAAAACAAATCCTACCCAAGACACCTTGCATTTGATTTTTAATGCCCACCTTCTCAACATGCTGAGCAATTTAGTTACACACATGCAAAAAGAATGTGCATAAATCTTGTAATTTACAAAAAATCAACAAACAAACAAAAAACTGTTTTTTAAAGAACTCCTTTTCAAGCTATATATTTTCCTTGAGAAAATCTCCTATCATGAAAAGCGTTGTATTGGTGAGTCAGAGTAATCTTTTTGTATACTGTAAAGAAATGTCACTCTGATTTGTTTAATAAAAAGCTAAACAGCCAATAGCTAGGCAGGATTTTCAGGTCAGAGACAACTCTGGGAAGAAGGTAGAGTTGCCAGCAGAGGCAGAGGGAACAGACATGCAAGAAAAGTAGTACAAGTCATGAGAGTCATGTGGCAACATGTAGATGAGTAGAAATGGATTGATTTATGTTACAAGAGCTAGGTAGAAACAAGCCTAATCAATGGCTGAACTTCCATAATTAATAAGAAGTCTTCAGATTGTTTACTTGGGAGCTGGCTGGCAGGGCAGAGAAAGACTAGCAACAAAGAGCATAAAGCATGGGTCAGTTTCAGAGTCACGAACAAGAAAAAGCTAATCACTGAGGGGCTGTATTTAAGGGGGGAAAAAAAAAAAAGAGTTAAACATTCTAGACATCAGAGATAAGCACAGGGAAGACCAACTTCATAATTTTAACTCTGACAGAAAATATCAGGACTCTCACGAGGTAAATTTGTATGTGAGAGTGCACAACCTCAGGTGACATTCCTCAGAAACACTGTCCATTGTTGGTTTACTTTTCAAAAAAGAAAAAGGAAACATTGTGTACATTGCTTATGCCTGTAGAAGACATGAAGGCCAGAGGAGGGGGCAGGGATGTTCCTCTATCATTCTCCACTCTTAGTCCTTTTGCAGCAAAGTCTCACTCTGAACTTGGTGCTCATGTTTTCCCAGCTAGACTAGCAGCAAGCCTTAGTGATCTCCCTGTTTCCTCCTCTTGGAATTGGGCCTGCAGATGTTTGTGGGAACACCTGGCTTGTTACTTGGGAGCTGGGATCTTAACTCTAGTCCTTATAACAGTGTAAATGATCTTAACTGGTGAGCCATTTTTCTAGCCCTCCTATCTTGTTTTTGTAAGCATTTTAAACATTTATTATTTATTTATGTGTATGTGTGTGTGCATGACACATGGGTGAAGAGGTCAGATGGATCAAACTCAGGCTATCAGGTTTGGCAACAAGTATCTTTTTAAGAAGATGTCCTGTAGGCTTCCTTCCAGCCCCATCTTATGGATTCATTTTGAGGCTGGATCTCTCACTAGCCTGGCATTTACCCAGTGGCCTATGTTGGCTGGTCAGGAAGCTCCAGGAATCTACCTATCTGCCATATCAGTACTGGGATTACAAGGGCACACCACTATACTTAGCATTATTATTTCTTAATTACATTTAGTGTTATTTTTGCAGAGGGAGAGGGGGGAAGGGAATGCTTGTATGTGCCACAGAACATGTGTGGAAGTCAGACGACTACCTGCAAAAGTTGGTTTTCTTTCTATCACGCCAGTCCAAGGGACAGAACTCAGGTTGTCAGTCTTGCTGTCAAGCATTTTTATCTGTTGTGTCATTTCCCCAGCCTATCAGCTTTCAAAAAGCAAAACAAAACAAAAAGCAGGGGTCTGGAGTTAGCTGAGATCCTTATGCTTGCACGATAAGCATTTTAACAACTGTGCTATCTCCCTAGCTCCAATAAGGCTGTCTTAAGAAATGAGAAAAACAACAGGAACTAAGGACAAACTCAGACATTCTATGGCAGAGATCAAAGAACCCGAGGCAAAAGTCATTAATACTTACTATTCAATGTTATGTACTTCATTTTTATTGTTTACCTCCCTGCTTCTTCCTGAACTCTTAAAACTGGTTCTTAGACTTTACTGTGGGGGAAGCTTCTTGAACACATTTCTAACTCAATATGAAGCTCAAAGTTGATCACTAGGTCTGGAAACCCATTTTGAAACACTGTTAACCTTTTTAATTTCTATGTCTTTGGCCTATCAGGAACTAAGTTTTACAGGAGAGGAAAACTCAAATGATTGCACTGAAACAACACAAATGTACAAAAAGATAGCGATTACATTCCATTGTCCTTGCAGGTAACTAGACTATCTGTGTTGGATAGTTTTGCGTCAAGTTGACACAAGCTAAAGTTATTTGAGAGAAGGGAACCTCAATTAAGAAAATACTTCCATAAGATGGGGCTGGAAGGAAGCCTACAGGACATTTTCTTAATAAGTGATTGATGGAGAAGGGCCCAGTCCATGTGGGTGGTACCACCTCTGGCTGGAGGCCCTGGCTTCTATTAAGAAAGGAAGCTAAAGAAAGCCATGAGCAGCAAGACAGTAAGAAGCACCCCTGAATAGCCTCCGAATCAGCCCCTGCCTCCAGGTTCCGGCCCTGTTTGAGTTCCTGTCCTAATCTCCTTCAATGATGGACTATAATGTGGAAATACATACCAAATAAACTCTTTTCCCTTCAGCTTGGTCCCAGTGATAGAAACCCTAACTAGGACACTGCCTAAACACATATCCAAACAGAGTTTAGGATCAGAAACTCCATTTTTACAATGAATCGCTGAAGAACCCTGATGAAAAGCACTGTTTCTCTTTTGCTATAAGACATGAATTAGTAGAAAAGAATGCACCAAGCACCCAAGCCAGAAAAAAAAAAAAAAAAAAAAAAAAAGCTCTCCCTCTTGTATGCTGTCTACAGAACGTAATGCTGTTTTTAGGCTTAAAAAAAAAAAAAAAAAAAGGTTTCACACTTGTTTAGTCCAGTTTCACACAATGTAAGAACAGGTACTCCCCACACTCCACAAACGAGACCAAGGGGATAAAAAAGGGAACAGTGATGTGGAATTCCATTGGGTGAATGAAATAAATATAGCTAAAAGAGAAAGTATGCAGCATGACTTCACTGGCATGGCTCATGTATTTGGCAGGATGTTTACAAGGAGCCATGAGAAAAGGAAACCTTAGGAGACCCCACAAAAGGGCAGCAAAGACAAAGGACAGGTCACTCTAATAAGTTAGAGGCAGTCAGTGTACAAGTACAGAGAGAAAAGGCAGCAGGATGTTAGTGAGCACTCACTGGGGTTGTCAAATGGCTTGTGACTTACCTCAACAGAAAGTGCACGGAACTGTGTCACCAAGCCATCTGCAGCAGTAGCTATACCAATCAGCGCGACCACCTTTTCAGGCCGTGCAACTGCAGCATGCAGCATGAGCCATCCTCCAAGGCTAGATCCAACCAGAATCTAAAAATAAACATCTATGCTTTAAAGATTCTCATACTGGTCTATAAAGAGAATGGCTTAATAGAAATGTATGGACTTTGCATTTTATATCCATGTAGATCCTTTTAATAGACTTTTAGTAGACTTTTGATATGTAACACAAAGTAAAATTCAATTAAACTATTATAATAACTAGCTGGTTTTTATTTTTTTTTGTTTTTTGTTTTTTTTCCTGGTAGTCCTAGCTCTGCTGGACTTGCTTTGTGGAGCAGGCTGGCCTCGAACTCAGAGATCCGCCTGCCTCTGCCTCCCAATATAACTTTTGCAAAGCTATTATGTCTATAATATAGAACTATGAAAACAAACTTTGTTCAATAAGTGTTTATTGCTTATTAGAAAGTAGAAATAGAATAATTTTAAATCAAATTGTTCATCAAAATCAAAATTGACAAAATATTATCAATTGACATATCTAAAGAAACAAACCAAATATTGCTTGAGTCAGAAATCATTCTACTTAACAAAAACAGTTACCTGTGGTCCTTCAGCTACATCATCAAGTATAGAAAGTACATCCTTTCTCCATTTCCCCACTGTGCATTCTGCTAAGTTACCATCTGAACTTCCAATTCCTGAGTAGTCAAACCTGGAAGAAGGCAAAATATATATTTATACCTAGATGTTTGCATGTGGAAATTTGCCCATGCTTGCTTCTTTGATTTTTAAAAGCAAAGTAGGACATTCTTCATTACTACAATGACAAAACTACAGTAAAACATCACTCAGCATGTACTTTCGTAAATCCTACTGTCTTAACTTCCAAGTACCTCTCACGTCAATCATTTTCTTATATGTTCCACTGCTACCCTTAGTTCAAGTTATGATCTTTATTAGACCAACACAGAGTCTTCTAAGTCTCTTGTCATTTCTATATTTCATCCTCATAACCTATCCCAGATAGTAGTCAGGACGATCCTTTTAAATGAAATACCATATCATACATGATTTGTATATTTAATAAAAGTCAAAACCCTTACCATACTTCCCTGACTATCTATCACTCTGACCTCCTTTTTTCAGAGATCTCATTCCCTCTCAAGTGAATTCTCACTTTCATTCTTGAAGTTATCTCCAGACATCCATGAGATACCCCTCACTCATTCAGTCTTTTAGCTCACACATTGTATTTCATGGAAATCAGGCTCTGGCCATTCATATGCTGAAACTGCTTCTTTCACAGCTCTGTATTATTATTGTTTTATTTTCTTCATAGCCTTTACTGCTGCTTAGGACCAGAATCAACTTCACCATGAAGTTTCACCTTCTAAATTTTCCTAGGGATCCAAGATCAAAGTCTGTCAATAAACTATGAAGTATCCTATCATGTCTGCCAATTATCAAAATCCCCAGTCATTCTAAACTACTCTATAACTATGAGATTTTGCATGCCATTCTACTGCCTTGAAAACTCCCCACCAAACCCCTAACCATTCTTTAAGTCACATCACTTCTTTTGATGTCCTCATTCAAGTACCTGTGCTGAGAGGCAGAGACAGGTGGATCCCAGGGGCTCCTTGTAGCTACTCTAGCCTACTTGACAAGCTTCGAACCAGTGAGAGAATCCTTGTGTCTGAAAATAAGGTGGATGACTCCTGAAAAATCAACAACCAAGGTTGTCTCCTGGCTTTCACATGCATGCAAACATGCATGCCTGGTCATACTCACACATGATCATGTACATACACAGTGGATTTGGAAGGCACTACACTCAGCATTATTACAATGCTACACACAAAGAACTTGATTAAACAATCTGTAGTAAAAGGGTTAGTTTACAAATGCATATATATCATCCAACATGCAGAAAACTAAATTATGTCTGGAATTGGATATAGCTTTTATTTTCAAATGAAACTGAAGAATTAATAAAATGGTGATTTCTATTTTTAAGTGTTTTGCTGTATGTGTTCCCATGTGTGTGGGTGCATTTATGTATGTGGTACACAGGAACATGTACACATGTTTGAAGGGGCCAGAGGCTGACATCCAGTGTCTTTCTTGATCACTCTCCACCTTATATGTTGACTCTGAGGCTCACTGTTGCAGCTCATCTGGCCCAGTTTGCTTAGGAGATTCCCTTTCTCTGCCTTCCAAATGCTGGGATTTCCAGGCAGGCAGCCATACCCACCAGATTTTACATGGTTGAATTTAGAGATCTCAACTCTGGTCTTCACACCTGCATAGAAAGTTCTTTACTCACTGAGCCATCTCCCCAGTCCTAAAATGCTCATTTTTTTTTCTTTATTTTTCTGACAAAAAAAGCAATGGCAGCAATATTCCTGATAATTATGTATGTTCTCAGTGGTCTCTCTCCATAGATATAACTGTCCTTCTACCCACATCTTTATTTTTTTCCAGAATCCCTTTGTAAAGTCTTGTCCATCAATTCCCTCCTCAGTGTCTCTCACCTTATGTAATTTCTTCTCTTTTGAATGACATTCTGATGAGTACTTCTGCCTAATAACATGCATGTATTTTCATCCATTGCTTAAGGGCAAATACTACATTTTATAATTCTTAATGTATTATTCAGCTCTAGTCTTCAAAGCAAGTTAAGTCAAGAGATTTACAAATAAATTCTGAGAATGAAAATAAATAATTTTGCTAGTCTGAAAAGGAACTGGACTAAATTCATCTTAATGACATAATATCTGCAAATACATTGAACAGATAATGCCTAAAGGTTTTAATGCAGCTGTATTTTCTAGAACTACTGAATGAGTACTAGTGAGACTATTCTTTTTAACATTTAGATGAATGGCTTTTTAGGCTGCTTGTGCTATTGTGCTAGGAAAAAAAAAAAAAAAAAAAAAAAAAAAACAGAAATTTCCTGCAGTCCAGCCTTCTACTGGATGACAAACCTCTATCTACTTTGTATTACTGATTTGTTTCTTCAGCTGCTGAAAGAATTCAGCCTTCGATCCTGTTTCTTCAATTCTATCATTGTTTTTTCCCATTAAATTATATTTCCCTCTTTATATTGAAAAATTTGATAAAACTAACAAACTTTGTTACATGAATAAATTTTTATTAAAGTATCTCAATGAAAAGGAACAAATAAATATAAAATTAAGTTTTAACTAAACACTACCTATCCTTTTTTATGCTCACACACATTCAGATTATAATAAGTAAAGGAGAAAGAAAACAGAAATGTAAATTACACAGTATCAATCTTACGGTTTTATATTACATTTAAAAATCCTTTTTGTATATGTGGGTTGTGCTAGGGATTGAGTCCAGGATTTTGTGCTAAACACATGCTGTACCCCTGAGAGACTTTAGAAAGTAATAATTAACAATGATCAGATTAAGTTCTATGTCTTCAGGACATAATCCATAATCACAAGTGATTACAAAGAATCCAATGAGTACATGTTTTTTGCCACACAGATGTATCTAAAGATCTAGTTGGTAGTTCCCTTATGATGCTCTTTTCTGCCAATCTAGCCAGCATGGCACAGAGACCTTAAAGATCCTAAACCACTAATAAAATAAATTCGTCTACTCAAATGCTGGCAATTACTTCAGTTGGCTCTATTACAATGCTAAATGGCAATATATCCTCTGAAATGTATTATTCCTACCTTATATAGGCGTGACCTAGAGATTTGCAAAATTCCTCAATTGCCAGTGCCTTTTTACCATTCATATCAGAAAGAAAGCCAGGGATGAAGATAATTCCTGGGTTTTTGCCTTTTAGCCTCTTATAAGCCAGGTTTGGAAGGTCTGGTCGGTTAAGGAAAGAGAGTGATACCTTTTGTCTGCAAGCTAAACAAAGTAGACAAAGTATGAATTATAGCTTGAAAATTATTTTTGGAAAATAACATATATTTTCAAATCTTAACTTTCTTAACTCATTGCATTTGATAGGAAATCAAAATAGGCTTCGAGCATAAGACTTTTAGTTTTTAAAGATACATCAAAATATTTACCTTCTTAGAGCAAGGCCCAATCACATAATCTTCTAAAATACACAATGAGGAGGAAAGTTCAGTGAAACAAAAGACAGAGACCCATCAAAAAATATCTTCATGTTGGTGCCACTTGATTTTCCTCAACAGTAGCAATTAATATTTAATTTAAATACAGCCCTTAGTCTCTCCCAGGAGATTTCTTTTTGTTTTAACAATGTTTCAGGAATTCCATGTTGTCTACTTATGGACATATGAGTGTGGAAAAGAGGTGCAGGCGTACTCTGTCTTTCCCTTTCTCCTGCCTTTAGAAGAATATTTCAAAGAGGAACTGGCAAAGTTGCAGGCACCGCAATCCCATGATCTGGGAGGCAGAGGTAAAAGGATCTGGAGAAGTACTTAGCAAGGAAGGAACGATGCCTTTAGTACCGGGCTCTTTCTGATCAGGTTACCACTGAGCAATCCTCCCCGGGAATATAAAGAAACAGGTAAGAAACCACTGTAATTTCCTACCAACTGGGGTTTCAAAAAGCCGTCCCTTTAAAAAATAACTTTGGATCAAGTATCATTCTTGGAAAAATACTTCTCACCCAACTCTGATTGCTGTGTTTACTTCTGTTGGCTGGCTTTTTGTAAGTGGTACACATAGAGTTATTTAAATATAGCAGGGCAAATTGTGAACATTGCAGGGCTAATCTAGTTCATTGTTTTAATTTCCCATTTTAAAAACCAAAGCCATATAAATATTTAAAAAATAAAATCACACTTTCTTCCTTCCAAAGACAGGCTTGAATACATCTGAATAGTCATTTTATGGACCAATAAATCTTTTAAAAAATTACTTATTTAGTGTATATGTACATGCTATGCATATATGAGGAATTCAGGACATAGTTCTCTCCCTCCACCTTATGGTTCCAAGGTGTCTTTACTTGCTTAGCTAGCTCTCATTTAAAAAAATAAATATTAAACAGTCTGTGTGTGGTTGGAGAAACTTCTGGGTCTCTCCCGTGTGTCCTGCTAAAACTTTTCCCATTTTCGGTTTACATTTTTAAAAAAAGATGGTTAGAGAGTCTAGTGTGGTGTTATACCCCAATAACCACATATCATAATACTTGAGTGCTACAGGCAGGAAGGTGTCACTACATGTCCCTGGAGAGCAAGATATTATATGGTGAAGCCTTGTCTCAGAAACCAAGCAAACCATGTACACTTCCCAAGCACACACTAAGAATCAAAAGCTTTAAAGCTATCGCTTTTACCTGCCAACCAGATCCTAAGTTTCAGGGTATGGAAATTTATGTCAACTTTAAATAATCTGTCAAAAAACAGAGCTTCTGGGGATCAGTTTGTGTTGGTCAATAGACTGTATCAATGTTCATTCCCCAATTCCTTAATTAAATGCACAAATAATCCTTTTATCTCCTTTCAGACATTATCTCTCATTACATGAATTTCATCCTACGAAGTTATTATTGATTTGTTTGAGGCTATAAAACAAAGTGCTTGCCGGGCGGTGGTCGAACATGCACTTGGGTGGTAGAGGCAGGCGGACCTCTGTGAGTTTGAGGCCAGCCTGGTCTATAAATCGAGTTCCACGACAGCCAAGGCTGTTTCACAGAAAAACCCGTCTCAAAACAACAACAACAAACAAAACATAAAAGAAAACATAAAACCAAAAACAAGAGGTTCAACATAAATCACCTCTATACAATATGATGCACATATGGTCAATGAATACGGCTAAAGAGATAAAGGAATATTTTATTTTTGCTAACAAATTGAAATACTATACTTTGATGAGATACATAATAGTGAAGTTTTTTTTTTTTTTTTGAGTGCAGTGTAAATTAAACTGGTTACGTACTTTACAAAATTTGACCATGTTAATTTATATGACATTCCTATTCCTAAACTCTATGCATCTAACAGCTGTGTGGCAAGTTGCGAAAGGCACCATAGATATTATTCAAGGTTATACCGTATGTATGTATGTATACATATATATATATGCACATACATGTATATATCCTCTGAATATATGACATATACCATATACTCTATGTATGTATTATTAATACAAATTCTAGTTTTCATTGTAAAGAAATTACAGTTCTTTCGAGAAGAAAAACCAGGTATTAGTCCAAAGGTAGCGTCTACATGTACAAAGAACGTTCCTCAGACTCTATGTTTCCTTAAGTCAACCCTGGCTGGGCAGGACTAAGCATTTAACAAAGTAAGGGCATGCAAAGCCCTAGAAGCAGCTAGTAACCAAATACATTACATGCACATCTGAAATTTTTTTTTCTTTTTCTGGTCTTAGCGTTTGATTCAGAGGCCGCAGAAACCCCTTAAATAGCAGAGTAAATCGCCGCCAAGGATCTCCAAGGGCGCGCCGGGGCTCCAGCAGAAAGTTTTCTCCCCCCCCCCCCCCCCCGAAGTGTTCACAAAGCCACAGAGCGCTTCTGAATGGGGCGCCAGGCCGGCACTCGGCGGCCGCCGGACGAGCGTCGGGAGGAGCCCGAGTCCCCGCCTTCCGTTCACTAACCTGGGGGCCACCATGCCCGCGGGGGCTTCCGAGCAGGCGACGCGCTCAGGCCTCGGTGCCGGCCCAAGGACACCGCCTCCCAGCCCCACCTCCGACAAGGTACCCAGGCCGCCATCTTCCCAGCTGCCCCTGCGCCTGCCAAGGACGTGCGCGGGTCACGGGGTCGTGAGGTCACGCACGCGCAGTCCGCAGGAAGGCGGAGGGTACCAAAGGGCGTCATGTGGGATTTGCGGTGTGCGCGGAGACGCATGCGCAGGGTGGCGACTGCCGTGCAGCTCTCTCTACTAGGCTCTTTTGTCTCCCCTAAGGGCGTGTGGCTTGTGACATTGGGGCGGCCTTGGCCGGCTTTCTCCACTGTAAGCTGTGGAAATCTCGGCGAGGAGCCAGGCAAACCGAACGTTCGTAGAAGGGAAACCGTGTTATCATCCGGAAGATCAAAGGCCTGAGACTTCTTGCATCACCAGTCCCCGACGCTCCGTGTCAGCCTGTGCGGGAAAGGTTTCCCGGAGGCGACCTTAATCTTAAATTATTCACATCACTGGAGTAGCGTCAGCATTCTTTGCTCTCCTCCAAACATTTTCCCACTCGCCAGATTCCTTTAAATTCAAATGAGCTCACGTAAGCCAAGATACTAGAGACATAGGGTTGCTAGGTGAGCGGCAGTCTATAAAGTCTTATGTCAGGCAATCTGGTCGTGTTTATTACAATGCGCATAATTTTCGGTACTCTGAACTACCGCCCCCCTTTTGACTATCCTAAATAAAAAGGACGAGGGTTCATAAGGTCGTGTATTGCCTATGACAGCAACTTTTTTTTTTTTTTTAAAGATGGAAAAAAAGGTGGGGAACAATCAATGGCTATAGAAAAACAATTGAACAAATTGTGATAATAGGATCTCTTAAATTCTGACAGCCTTCAAAGTAGTGGCGCGCGTGTGTGTGTAATCAAGTATCACTCAGTATATGCCTTATCTTGTCTATTCTAGTTGAAATGGTTGTACTTAGTGCAATACTTTAGGTAAAACCATGCTACTATTTGTCTTGGTTGGTTTGGTCAGCTTTGAGTATCTGCAAAGAGGGAACTTCGACTGACAAATGCCCACATCCATCATACTTGCCAATAGGCACATCTGTTAGGCATTTTCTTAATTGCTGACTGATGTAGGAGGGCTTAGCAGTATAAGAAGGTGGGTAGGTGGGTCTGGGTGTATAAGAAAAACAGCTGTGAGCCTGGAAGCATGCTAGTAAGCAATATTCCTTGGTGGTCTCTGCTTTAAGCCTATGCTGCCTCAGCTTTCCCCAGTGATGAACAGTGACCTGAAAGTTAAATAAACTCTTTTCTCACTTGAGTTGCTTTGGTCATGCCAGTCATCACAATGACAGATGCAAACTTGAACACAGTCTCTTTAGAGATTTGGGAGAAGTTATTGGTATCAGAGTTAAAAGCAAAGTCAGGCATGTCTTTGGAGTCTTGAGAATATGATCTGTTAAAACACACTGGAGAAGCTTGGTGGAGAAAAACAAAATAAACCTTGTTTTTTTTTTTTAATCATTTTGGTTTTGTTTCTCTATGTCCCATTCCTAAATTAACTAATTAAAGTCATCATTGTCTGAAAATATGAGAAAGCATTAAGGAACAGATCATAGATGTACATTCCCCTTTCAGCTTATAGGACATCCTGGTGACTGTAAACAGCATTGGAACTTCAAAAGTACTGCTTCAAGTAGCCAGGTGTCCCCCTAGATATGCTAAAATGAGGCTCCCCACAATCCCATGGACTCTGAATTTCTTCTGCTTCCACCTGCTAGCCTGGTGTCAATAAAACTCTGTTTTCCTGTCACTGTCTCTCAAGTCATTGCATGGTCTGTGTGTCCTGGGCAAAACTGAAGTTTTCACAGTCCTATTTTGGTTGTTTGGATATAGGACAGTTCAGAGATAGGACCATAGCAGATATAGTCACCAAAGGACTGAATCACAAAGGTAATGATGTCCAATGAATTCTACCTCACTCTTGTATCTTTCAGCAAGAAACTTATCTTTGATATTGTTAGCCCCCATCAATTTCTTCCACTCTATTTTTGAGCATCACCTTGTACTTCATATGAAGCAGAATTTTAAAAATCTGCTATACTAATGAGGAAAGTACTGTGATGCACACAGAAGTGGGGAAACCAAGTTTTGTTTTCTCAATCCACTCTTACCAGCCAAACAAATCAGGAACCTAAGTGGATTTGCAGCACTATCAAAATACCTTCCCTGACAGTAATAGGCTTGCAGTAAAACATTTTTGCTTACTCTAAAGGCTTTTTTTCCCTCATCATTCCTTTTGTCAGCATACAAAAGTAAAAGGCCATTTTTATTTATTTATTTTTTTGAGGGCATCTTCTCTCTCTGACATCCAGAAGAAAGAGGTCCCCTCAGGGCTTTCCTTCACTTTGCATTATTGAGGTTAAATAAGAATCAGGATAAACAAATAGGCCGAATAGATGTTTATTCAGGGAGAAATAACTTATAACCTAGACAGATGAACACCAGCAAGTTCCACCGGATGCTCTCCGGATCCACCAGCAAGAGCCTGTCCCCTGGATCCTCCTCAGATCTCCTTCTACAGGTCACTTCCTCCCCTGGCTCCACCCCAATGGGCGTGGTCAGTGCCATGGAAGGAGACAAAGTGAATATCCCACTACATTGCATTATACCCTTTAGGGAAGTAATAGCTAATCATTACAAAAAGATAAGAATAATATGTGAGATTTTTCAGTGTTAACCTCATTTTGTCAGTAATATAAATGTGGCCAGAGAAGCTTCCAATTATTTTAGTTTTATGAACTGCTAATCACAATGTCAGTACATAGCAAACTTTATGTAGAATCTACTGTCAAATTTTGCTGATTAACTCATCCTCTGTTATGTTACACAAAGGTGATTGTAGAGTGAAAGATAAGAGTCCACTTTCAAATGTGAAATCAGGTCAACACTTTAATCCAAACTCAATACATTTAACACGTATATATCTAAAAGGTTCAAACATGCAAATTGATTAAAACACCCTTACAATCCTATGGAGAAAGTACAGTACAGAAAAAGTGTGTCTTTTCATCAACTAACCAAATCTCAGCAATTGCATTTTAATGTTTTAGATCACCAGAGTTGAAGGGGGACGGACTGATGCAAAAATCACAGATGAGAAATACCTCCTACAGTCATGATATTTGTCCCTCATTATTCAAGTAGAACCTTGCACCATCCAGTTGCAAAAGTTGTATTAATGATAACACATATGCAGGTATAAAAGTACACTGTAAGTTTAAAAAAAAATTGTACCCAGTCAGGCCTGACAAAATTTTATGGACATTTCTAATCATTTCACGTGTACAAGTAAGTAATGTCATTATTTTCTACTTCTATCCATTTGGCATATTTTAGGAAAGAGTTCATTCATACTTAAAAACACAAAACACAAAAACTAAAATAAATGGCACTTGGAAAACTATTATAAAAGAGACTTGCCTGAAGTCATTTCATTCAACAAAAATTAGCTCTAAAGACAAGGTTATTTGTAAAGATGTATATAAAAGATATAGCATAGAGTACGTTAACTTGAATTTTGGTTGTCTCCAAAAAAAAAAAAAAAAAAAAAAGATATTTTAAATGTTCTGTTGTCAGCAAAACAGAGATGGTTTCATAGTTATCCATGGGAGGGCACAGGTAACAGCCTTGCCCATAAGCAAGAGGAACTGGGCAGTCTAGAGGAAACTGGTTACTGGTTGCTTTTATCTTCAGCACCAGGAATGGACAAATGTTCAACAGAACAGGCTCCTCCCACTAAATGTTCTCCTTAATGAACACTACCTAATGTCACAGGTTTCTCTTGTCTGAGATGGCTTTTTATTAAAACAAGGAGCTTTTAAAAAAATGTTTATTTTAAATTCCCTTAAGAAAGCAGTTTACTATCTATGCACAGCTTCTTTGGGAGGTACTACATGGTTGGCACCAAAAAAAAAAATAAAACAAAAACAAACAAACAAAAAAAAAACATTTTAAAGCATAGTTAGTGAGTAACACTGTTGTTGAACAGAGTCCAGCCATGTCTTTGGTTTTTGGGCAATTTTTAAAAATTAAGGCAAAAATGTCGAAAATCTGTTGCCTTCTAAATCATAATCTGCTTATTTTTATAAAATGCTACTTCCTCCAAAGAAGGCAGTTGATTACTTATGGCAATGATTTGGGTGCTAAAATAATCTCATTCTAAGTACATATTTACAGACACTGTGTAAACTGTTAAGTTTATTCAACCAACATCAGCTGATAAAAAGTTTATGAGAAATGCACATCTAAATGATGCTTTTATCAAAATAGTGTTTTGCTTTTGTTTTTGTCAAAGGAGTTTTTCACTATGAGCCCTGCTTTCCTTTTTTCAAAAGGCTCCCCAGTATGAAAAGAGTTGTGAATGCACACAATTAAACTGGTGGTCTGCTGGGCCTTTCCATCTGAGGCTGGATATGGCTTCATTCTTGCAAGAGACTGTTGCAGTCTGCCCTGAAGTGGACCATTGCCAAAGTTCATCACAACAGGAAGTGAGTATATCCTTCTGCCCCAGTTACTATTACATCCATCCAGATCCGCATGGCCTCTGGGGAAGGGGCCACCATGTAATAGATTCTGTCATGTGTCTTCACGCTAAAGGTGAGTAAGGGGTTAGGGCTCTGGAATTCAAAACAAGAAAAGAATGTCAAAGAAATAGTTAGAAAGTTGAGCATAATGTTCTTCTGCTTTAAAAGTTGCCCTTGACAGAAATTTATGGAGCTACACTGCAACATCCCCGGCACTCCTTCCACCTTCCTCAGGATGGGCCATCTGCCAGGCTTTTCTAGAAGAAATCTCATGCTAAGCTCACAGACTCACTAACTAGCTGGTAAACCATGGTGTCTAGCTGACGGGAGATGCTCAGTCAATAATAGTGGTTATTCCTGGCCTTTTAAAGGTTCTGATGAGTTATGATTTGCCTTCCTAACTATATACTAAGTAATTCCTTCCAAAAATGCGTTCAGAGTGGCTCCGCGGGATCTCCCAAATCATTATATCCAGAACCTTTCCTTATTTCATTTTGACTTTCCTTAAAAACAATCATTTACACAATGTATTTTCAATGTTAACCTGTAGCACTGTTCTGAACGTATTTGTCCACCATGTGAGAACACAGCCTCTGAATCACTTAAAATCCCAAAATAACCTAACTTAATTATACATTCAAATTGTAGAAATTGTCCAGGCTTAGTTGCACATGCTTGCGACACCAGCTACTCAGGAGGCGGAGGCAGGAGCACGGCAAGTTCAAAGCCAGTTCAGGCAACATAGTGAGACCCTGTCTCAAAAAACAGAACATGAAAAGGGGCTGAGGATAAAGCAAATAGCCTGGAGTACAAAGGGCCCTAGGGGGAAAAAAGCAGTTACAGAAACTGAGGAAATCGATACTCACCTTATTAGCATTCTTGAGGTGATCATAATACACTTCTTCGATGGCTTGAAAGTATATCACTCCTTTTAATTTAGCCTCATGCTTGTCTGCAAAGATAGGTAGTACTTTAGTGCCACCAACGAACAGGGAAAACCTTAAGTTCATGATTAATTATCCTCATTAAAATGTTTATCTAATATTTAAATGATAACTTAGGAGTAATGCAGTTCCCCCGGTGAGCCCACCAGGCTCCAGTGGACTGCTCCAAACCCCTGGTTAAACTCAATGGGTCACAGAACAAATACGCGAACATGGTGAGGAGACTGGTAGAAGACAAGATGGGGTGAGTACACGAATGATCAGAATACATCTTGTCCATGTGCGGAACTGTCAAAGAACAAGTTTAATGCTTTATTTATTTAAATGCATTTATTTATTTTGAGGCAGGATCTCCTTACATAGGCGTGCCTGTCCTAGAACTTACTATGTAGAGCAGGCTAGCCTCAAACTCACAGGCCTGCCTCTCCCTGAGGAGAGCTGAGATTAAAGAACAAAGCAAAAATAGCCGCTGAAAGAACAAACTGATCAGTCAACACCCTGTACCCTCTTCAGTGACCATTTTCTGGGGGTGTACAGATGAGGGGCAGGGAAGCAGCTATGGGGGACCGGGAAGCAGTTATGAGGGGCTACTGGTGGATACACCGAAGAGACGGCCCCTTTAGAGTCCAACTAGAAAAATAACTAGAAAAGACACACACCCCCTTTCCTTGAGTTCCACTTCAAAACTTCATCGCAGGAGATCTGTTCATGAGCCGCAACTGCTCTGAACGTGTGGGGGAGGGCCTGCTTGAATCTGAGGAAGAGACTGACTGAGTGACCAGCTAGCCACACACAGTGGGATCACTGCAGGGTGGAAACGAGTGAAGCCTGCGTGCGTTCACAAGTGAATGTCTTACATGACTCGACATGAGCAGACTGAGTAACTCTGTACTCAGACTGTGTAAAGCAGGTAGGAAAATAACCCAGTTTGAGCTTTGCCTAACAATCCAAGATCACAAGGTTTTCAGCTCTAGCACAATGCATGTGTGTGTGTGTGTGAATACAATGTATAGAAGGAGACATAAAACAGTCTATTTTAGGCTTACCAGTGGGAGGACGGAATGTGTAGCAGGGAAGAGACGTTTTGTATGCAGACTCCATTGAATTTTAGTATTTTTACTGAGTGAATGCCTCCCTTTTTCCACTAATAATATAGAACTGGTTTGTAAACAATGACCCAGAAAATAGACCTACATCTTTAGTTGCATTTAACTCAGTCTTCCCTAACATAAGTGGCCAGGGGCCATAGTTTTGTGTATTTGTTTTTGCTCTTCCTTGAATATTATTGCTTTAATTACTATCATGCTCAGTGGATTCCAATTAGAGCAAGTTGAGAGAGGAGGGCATTTCTTGGGAAAGATCCTGCAGTTAATTCGAGGAAATACAGTAACACCTTGTTAGCTCAGAACAGATGTAAGATTAAAATCTGGAGACAAAAGTAAATGTCAGTGTTCTCAGAAGGCAGAACATGGTGTAATGAGGGTTTTTTTTTTTTCAGGCTGCTTCATCTGGGATAATGTGCTCTGGAAAACACGAACCTCACAACTGCACTGAGCTGATGGGTATGGGTGAGATACTTGGATTCTCTCTCTCTCTCTCTCTCTCTCTCTCTCTCTCTCTCTCTCTCTCTCTCTCTCTCTCTCGGCAGCATCAGCCCATCAGTTTACAGACCTATTTCCATGTCTGTTTTCTTTAAAGACTCTCTTAAAGAGCTAGTATAGAGGGCAAGGTCATGCATACCAGGGGCCAAGTGCTCTTTAAAGCTTTCAGCATTCATGTTTGCATGTATCTATGCATGAGGCCATAAACTTTGATGATAAGCCAAGGGGGTGTGGCTTTTGTAGGGTCAAGGCTAGCCTGAGCTGCATCATGGTGAGTGACTGGAGATTGATCTACACCCATGCTTGAGGGTGTCTGGAAAAGGGATGGGGGCAGGGTCATATAGAGCACACATAGCTGATGATTGACAGCTGTTCCTCTGCTCAATCACTTCTGATGTGAATGCGAAAGAGCTGGAGGAATGTATTTCTTATCTGTTTGGGCACTAGGGTTCTGAACATGCCAAACTGGTATTTAAAATAAAATGGAAAAATCAGACATCAAAAGTTTTCATTTAGATACAGCCTTTGTATGGGTTAGAGGGAGGGAGGTTTGGAGAAGCTGGTAGGGTCCCTGAAATACACACCCGATTAATAGACACGAAACTGAAATCAGGTTCACAGACCAGAGAAACGGAGTAATGAAGATGCTCTTTCTTCTAAGGCCTTTTAATCTTTTCTGTTGGAACATTCTGAGTGAGGCTGTCTATACACACTGGCTTGCTACACACCGTGTCTGTGAGTTGTGTGGATGAAAGCTAGGTTGGATTTCTTTTGAAGCAGGTTATCTTTGCTATTGCACTAAAGGTTGCTAACTGTGGGTCTTTTTTGGGAGTCCGGATAGGAAAGCAGGCCCGTATGAGGGCCAGGCTGTTTGCTCTAATCAGCAACTTCAGAGCTAACTGGAGCCCACTCCAAAAGCCCCTCACTGGAAGGTGTGGGTCTCAGGCTGCTTCTCCAGCCCGAGACTGGGACTCCTTGGGTAGTATTTCCTTTCATCTATTGGTTCTGGCTTCTCATTCCACCCTCAGTGCAAATTGTGATTCTGACAAATGCTCTCCTAAGTGCTCCCACAGTGTCTCCAAAGCATGGGAACTGGGTGGTCTCACCCCTTCTTAGCAGCTAGAGATTTGGGCTAGACTAATGCCTATAAAGAGCGTGTTTCGCATTAATGGGATAATTTTTCTGGTCTTGTGTTTTAAAGGGCCATACTTTAATGTAAAAATACAGTCCATTTAAAAAATATTTGGACTATAGTCTATTTCAGAAACAGACTAGATTAATTCATGATAGATTAATTCACACTTTTAAAGCCACATGATTTCTATTTGTAAAAAAGTAATTCATGGCCCATTCAACTGCTTAAATAGGAATATAAAATAATGCATGCCTACCAAATATCTTTGCCATTTTTTCACATACCAACCTCTTCCTTCCCTCCTTTCTCTCTTTTCCTTTTTCTTTTGGAGATAGGATCTCACTATGTTGTTGCCTAGGTTAGTCTCACACTCATAGGTTCAAATGATCCTACTGTCTCAGCCTCTCAAATGTTCTAGGTTCAGATGATGAATTTCAATTTCCTCTTATTTTTAATGGATTCAAATGTCACTTTAATTTTTTTTTAATACTCACCTGCATAATAAGAAAATGTCCGCTTATTCCGGTCAAAAACAAACCAGCGTTTCTTCCATGTCTTAATTTTCCCACCCATTTTGATAAGGTACCCTCGGCAGGTCTTCTCTGTGATCGACACATGAAAACAGGTGTCAATATTGTGGCCTGCCGTCTCCACGTGACTCCGCAAATCGAAGTCTTCCTTCCGGACAGGCAGATAGCGAGTCAGAGGACGAGCCTGGAAAAGTGCAAAACCCATTAGAGAATGTTCTGCTTCAGATTGCTTATGTTAGATGTGAGAAGGAAACCCATTTCGTCTATAGAGAACTGCTTTGTTATGTTAGATCGTGTATGTTAAATCACATATGTTAGATTTCGAGAAAGAAGTGTAGAGCTGAGGCCTTCAAATGCCAAGTAATTTACAAGAACCTGAGATAAACAAGGCGTCTGTCATCTGGAGACTAACAGACATAATAACAGAATGGTACATTAGAGAAGGTGTGGCTAAAGGCAGGCCTGTTGCTTCCACTCCTTGAGGAGGGCAGAATCGAGAATGAAAAGACCTCACAAATGTAACATCAAAGAAGTCAGCCTGGAAGAAGCCATGTAGGGAATGAGACACAACAGTGCTCCCAAGGTAATCCCCACACAGCCCCATCCAACACACACTGTTTGTAGGTATAACCCTCAGAAGATGCCCCAGAGTTAAAACTGTTAGTTTGCCCACTTAAAGAAGAGGTGTATGCTTTGGAAAGAGAAGTTAAAATAAATGGAGGGGTAGGATCAATTCTGGAGCAGAGGCCCGAGGGATGTGCACAGATGTCTTGTTTTACTAATGATGAGGGCCAAGGTTCACATCATCCAGAGAGCACAGATCACATGGATGCCGCTTCCAAATGCTCCCTCTCTCTTTAAAATTCTGCTAAATAATGCCATGCTTTTGCCCTGGGGAAATGATCTAATCGTATAGTTGGCGGAAGAGCTTATAATCGAGACTAAAATAGAATTCTGCCCTTTGGCTTGGCTTCAGATGTTAAACAGGCATGGATGACCTTCACTGTCAGTCAAGTTTAGCAGAGTCCACATCATAAGCCAATGAAAGCATCCATTTCAGTTTCCATTTTCTTATCATTTTACCTTCACTGGAAGGCAGCTGCCACAGGCTTCCCAAAGCCCCAGCACACATAAAGTGTTAAAGACCAGTCGCTGTAGGACCAAATGGTCAGCAACTGGAGAAGATGAGGGAAATGATGCCTTCGGGTCTTCTAGATGAATGACCAACTTTTATGAAACTGATGTGAGCTTTACATGATGTGGTATTTTAAAAATCTCCATCCTCAGAAAATATGTACACTATTAGCAGCTATAGGGAAAAGAGCAGGGAAATCTAAGATGACCAAGAAAGAAAGCGAAACCAAATGGATGTTTTTCCTGCTTTTCCTGTCTTGGTTGAGTTTGTTAATTGAAGGAACATGTATTATAAATTGGTATAGGAAAGGGGACACATGTGTTTAGAAACAATCAATCAAACAAACAAAAAGGTAAAATTACTACCACCAGCCCAAGAAACTAGACTGGTAATATTTAAGTTTATCCTGTTTTGGAAAGTTTGCTTCTAGAGATTGTCTGATAGAATCTTCCCTCTATCAGTTTTTAGTTTGCATGGTATATATATCTATATGTATACTACACACACACACACACACACACACACACACACACACACACCTATACGCCAAGCTACGTGTTTTTTTAAACATTTTTAATTTGATTTTTAACTTAATTGTGTGTGTGTGTGTAAATGTGCACTTGAGTACATGTAGTACCATTGGGCCCCATGGAGCAGGAGTTTCTGAGCTGCTAGACATGAGTGCCAGCAGGGAGCAGAGCTCTAGTACTCTGGAAGAGAAAAAAGTGCTCTTAACTGCTGGCCATCTCTCTGGCCCTCTCTGTGTGTTTTTAATGACCACTGCAATGGCACTTTTCAAAGCTAGACAAAATATGTTCTCCTTTTCAATGTGCCTAGAGAATGGATGGACAGCTCTCTTTCTCCTGCATGTGAGTAGATCATGTGAGTCACATGTGAGTAGAGCAAAGTGTCTGTTGCCTGGTGATTCCCTAGAAGTTCTAAAATGAACACAGCCTGCACAATAATCCATTACTGAACCCTTCTGTCAAGCACAAGGTAGGTAGTCAGACAAATATAATATCTTCCACAAAATGACCACCAGGGGGAAACCTACACTAATGCATCCACATTGACTGACCAACCTGTGCCCTTTGTTTCTCTCTTATTTTCACTTCTTTTTCTATTAACTTCTGCCTCTGGCTGGTTTCTTCTTGCAGTCGTTTTTCTAGGATTTCCCGGCGTCGTTTTTCTTCTTCCAGAGCTCGTTTTTTGGCTTCCATTTCCCGTTCCTAATTATTATCATACAGAGTAATAAATTACTTAAAAGCATGGCATTTGAAAGGACCAATTAATAAATACCCAAACTCCAATTATCATTAGACAAATTTCATGTTGTATCCTAGTTTCTTGAAATATATAACTTGGGCTAACACAGACCATGATCACCTTCCGTCTATAGCTCCCAAAGTTATGCCATTAACTAATCAACCAATAAGTAAATATTAGTCTTCAGTAAAAATTTGGCTTGTGACTACAAGCAGGCATTTTGTTCTTCCTTGCAAACTGTCATGAAGCACTAGCCATGCAGCTTGGGTTGTTCTCTGGGAGACTGTCCTGGGTGAAGGCCACAGGTCCCTGCAATTCCTGTTATTGCTCTGTAGATTCCTGGCTGGAGGTCAGGGAGGAAGTTTTGTGGGAAGTGGGAAAGGAAAGGAGGTGCCCCCAGGGCAGGATGTGAAGGCCTTGGGAGGGGGATTCCTAAGGAAGTTCTCCTGATTCTGGCCTGAAATAAAGTCACAACAACATGGGGGTTTTGAATTGCACAACAGTGAGATCAGCAATGAGTTGGGAAGGACAAGAGAACACATAAGGAAACGTCCTTCCTCCTTCCTCCCTCAAGAAAACACCCACATGGCCATCAAGGGGAAACACAGTAGCAAGCAAGCATCCAGATCTCATTTCGGTCTGTGTAAAACACAGGCACACTCTACAAAGTTCCTGGACACAATAGCAAAGCAAAGGGCCTGGAAGCCACCTCTCTAGCACCTTCTCTTTTCGGACAAGAAAGGAGGCTGAGTGGCTACCCAAGGTCAGAGCCTTCAGTCAGGGCCCTGAAGCGAGGCTGCTGGCTCCTGGCCTCCACGCCCATCAGGGCCTCCCAGAAGGAGCTGTCTGCCTTCCTTACCCTGGACTCCAGCAGCCGGGTCTTCTCAGCGTGAGCCTGTTTCAAGAGTCTCTCCATTTCTTCTATTCTGCCAATATTGGACGTGCTGGCACTGATGTGGATAAAAATACCTTTTAAGAACATTTGCTGAGGGAGAGGAGTCTCGGAGGGTGACTGTGATTAAAATACGTGGTATGCACAAGGGAACTTCTCAAAGAATTAATAAAAATATACTTAAAACACATTTATTCAGCCCGGTGAGTCTCTCTGACACACACACTAAAGTTACATATCACAATCAAATCACACACACATACACACACAGAGTCAAGTTAAACGCCACAAATCAAAGATTTATAATTTGAAGGATATTACTCATGATGAATTGGTCTTCGGGCCAATCAATTCATCTCTGAAAATCACAGCTGAGATACCACAGTGTAGGAGTCAAAAAACAAGCATGCAAGCAAGGCCAGTGTAAACCGGTTAGAAACAAACAAGGCAAAGCTAATTCTTATGAAGTGGGCATCCAAAACGCAGCCTTCAGGTGTGACAGTGACAGCCATGTGAGCCTTTCCTTCAGTTACTGACTCTCACATTGTCATACAAACCAGATTGTCATCCTGTCCTATGTACATTATGCCTAATGTGTGAAGTTGCTTTCTTCAGCTAGGGACTATGTGTCACCCCTGCGGCTTGCTATGCCTTTGTATGTGTGAACATACAATGACTTTCTTTTTCTTTTTTCTCTTCTTTGCTGGAAGACACCATGATGAAGTCTAAGCAAACAAGTAGTTCAAAGACTATTGGGAGCAGGCTCTGTGGAGCACTGCCTTCCTCGGGATCATCTTGAAGCTGGTACACACAACAATCAAGGACTTTAAAAAAAAAAAAATGCTGCGCCAAAGGTTTTTTTAAACTATGCATTAAAACATCCCAAAATTATAAGTCTATTAAAGAAGTAATTCCATTCCAAAATTCTAGTGACACAAACTTGGTTTTGTGGTTTATTATGTCACAAAAAGCCATTTGCAGAGTGATAGAGTTACTTGGTTGTGGGCACATTTGCCTTCACTTTTTGTTGAAACATCGTTTTCAGGAGTACCAGAAAATGCCTGGAGCTGGGGTTGGTTTTGGTCTTTATTTAGACTGTCAATAAACACAAGGGTCAGAAAAACAGGTCTTGGTACACAGAAGTGGATGTCGTTCAGAGGCGGTTGGAGGGATAAGTGGGTAAGGGTGGTGAATGTGATCAAAATACATTACATATGTGGGGGTAGATTGTCAAAGAATAAATTTTAAAACATCTAGTCCATAAAGTAGGAAAAGAAGGTCTTAAGTCTCGGAAAACAGATAACTGAAGGCAAAGTCTGCAAAAATCCCATTCTGTTGAAATTCCAGAACTACCTCTTAGGAGAACATTCTGGATGCCACCTCCTTTTTTGCTTTTGCCTTTTTACTGACTTTGCAAACCCAGACTTTGTGCTCAGACTGTGAGAAAACATTAAGCTCCAGCTTTCTCAGTGTATTGGGAGCCCTCATCCTGGAGGAGAGCTAGGAGGAGGCCGGAGAAGAGGGACAGTTGGGGCTGGAACACTGGCTCCAGGTTTCACCTGAGCCGGTAGATGGCAGGGCATTCGTGGCCAGGGCTCCGGAAAAAGGAGAAGTGTTTGCTCCTGAGTCCATAGCACCACTTTTGCTTGTCTCGAAAGATGAAGGCAAATATGACTGGCTAAATCCTTTGCACAAATTTAAATATAGAATAATTAAAGCTTTCTCTCTACCAAAGCAAAAGGGCCAAAGGTCTTTTGAAGTTCTGACTCTGGTCTAGGAGATCATTGCCTTATTAATAAAAAGCAAGCACATACATAATTTGGAGTCTACCGACAGTGGTATCAACACAGCATGAATCAGAAACCAAGCACAAAGAGCTCAAAGTGAGAAAATGGATCATGTGATGCAAGGAAATGGCTTCCCAGGGTCCCCAGATTCCCTGCCCCATCTACACTGTAGATTTTATATCTAAAATTTGAGCTTATAATACACATTGTGTCTCAAACTGGTGTTTATGTTTGAAACCGGAAGATGGTTTTCATCAAGCGTTACCTAGAGATATTGTCTGGTGAACAGGCAGAAATGCTGGTCTCCATGCTATCTGAGCTGTCCAGGCTCAATGTGTCATAGGCCTGGTCCTTGTAGCTGTGATCTGGGTAACGGAAACTATTCAAGTAGACATTTGACTCAGATGCTGTGCGGTTGTAAAATTCAGGTTTCTGTCTCTGTCCTTCACTCATCTGTTGGTGATTATAACCTAAGGAGAAAGCCATAAATATGTAAATATGTCTCATTTATCAAGCTCAAAAATATCACAAATCTACAGACTCAAGCCAGCAATGAGAAACATCTGCATGTGAAATCTGGACACTGCTCAAATATAGTCTGAAGTCAAGAAAATCAAAGAAACAATGCCAGGCCCAGTGTGAGCAAGAATTCGAAGGAAGTGATCATGTGAGGGATTTTATTTGTCAGTGAGATCACTTGGCACTTCTTAAATCTCATCCCTACAACTCAGCATAGCCAGGAGTAATATATCAGGACATTAAAAGACACACACACACACACTCTCTCTCTCGCATGCATACATGCACACATGCACGCACACACATGTACACATGCATGCACAATCCCCCGAAGCCAGAAGCACAGTTAGAAGCTCTGAATCTTCTAGAAATTTCTGTGTTTCAGTGAAGCACTGTAGTGCCCAGTATAATGTCAGCATGACGGCACAGTTCTGCTGCTGCAACCCCATCCGTATCTTAGGAACATTCACAAAACAGCAAATGGATCACCCAGGCAGGGGTAGATGTTGGGAAATGTGTATTTCACGGTGTCTGTTTCAGATGCAATCAGCCTCTGCCTCTTTCATAGTCTCTGTCTTTTGTTCTCCCTTTCTCCTCCTCTAATTTCTCTTGTATGCCGATTACTTTTTAAAATAGTCAGGGTCAATAATCCTTCCTATAGACAGGTTCCTTCTCTTTGCTATGTTGCTAACTCTGCTTTCCCCACTTTAATAGTCAGCCCTGAGCTAACTGCTGTTAACTATTTGAAAATGTGGGTGTCAAAAGGATCAAAAGCACCATAAATGACAGGCACTTTCTTTCCCCTTGTACTCTGACAGCTGGCATATGAGGTCATTGCTCACTTGAGCTTTTGCTGTAGCTACCTCTGGGTGTTAACTATCACACTGTCTCCTTTTCAGTTGTCTACCATATGTACCCAGGAAGCAGGGACAGGAGCAAAAAATGGTTTATCATTTTTTTTTTCTGATAAGAGAAAAATCCATTTCCCATTAACCCAGGGAGTTGAGAGAAGTCCTATTAAGAGTTTACTAGACCACTTAAATATGGCATCTTTTCTTGGAAACTACCTTTCAATGAGGATTTTAAATAAGAGGGAACATTTGCCTAAAGGAAATAAACAACAACAACAACAGCATTACCACCACCACCACCAAAACAAAACAAAACAGTTTCAACAGCTGCTGGTTTACATTTGTTTAAAAATAGGGGCCTCACCCACGCCATGATGCCTTAATAAAGTACCATCTATCTAAAAGCTCTATAAAATTTATGAGCAACATGCTATTTTGTGTCTTTTGTATTTGTGTGGTTCTAAGGGGCTATGTGAAAATGTGCTGTTCAGACTGATGCATGTCTAGGACGATGAGATTTCCTCAAACGATCTGCCATTATTAATTACAGACACATATCACGGAACTAGGGGAAGACGTGAAGCACAGAGGCCACTGTGGAATCAGGCAGAACACCCTTTACAGCAGTGATCAGCACACACAGCTCCCACAAAGCCAGGCGTTCCAAGTTTCACTTGGAACATTATTCGGACATTTACCTTTTACACTTGAACTTTTGCAATTGTTAATTGTCCCTTTTCCAGATTTTCATTAGGAAAGGAAGGGAGAATGACAAGAGAAATTATTTGAGAAGGCTACCCGCAATTATTTCCTTATAACTTTCAGACAATGCCGAAGCTTCTTAGAAAGCCTTCACACTGGTATCAACTGCACCACAGACGGGTCCTCATGCTAATGTGAAAAATAAATCTCTAAATGACATGTGCATAATTTAGAGCATATGAGAGTTATATCCCTGGCTGTGATTTCTGTCCCGGCCCCTCCTTCTCCCCTCCCCCAAAGAGCTTTCTTCAGTGAAGAAAAGTCAGGAATGAAGATTCTGTGGACAGCAAAAAGGAGAGCTTGCACTTCTCAAACAACCCATGGCTTGTCTCCTCAATCTTTCAGAGTTCTTGGTTTTGTCTTGTTCTCTTCAGAAATATCCCAGACTAAGAAAATTAGTTTATACCTTTCAGTGAGAAAGGCAGGAAACAAAAAAAAGCTCAAAGTTTTCAGACATGCGCACAAGAAACAGTTACGCAACAATGAGAACTGCCCTGTGGCTTGTGGACCTCAGCTCCAAAGACCAACTCCGAATTTGCTGAGTTTTGCTCTGCGCTAAGGGGCTCACACCGTCATTCCAAACGCAGAATAAGGACCTAAAGTTCTACCGCAGTTTACACATCAAAGCCTGTGGACAGTGAACCCATTTCCAAGGCAGGATTTTCACTTCCTATATGAACAGGATATTCATCTCATCGAGATAGTCAACATTGCCAACTGGCAATATTTGTCTGTTACAACTATCAACCTGAGATGGATTTTCTCTACCAAACACATTTTTAAAAATGTTCTCCAGCCATTATAAATAAGGGCATGGCCATGGTACTGCGTGGCTGTCTGATGTATCAGCACTCAAGAGGCCAAGCAGTAAGGTTATTGTGAGTTCCAGCTTAACCTGGGATAAATAACAAGATTATTTTTCTTCCCGTTTTAAGAAAAGTAACAAATGAGTCAATAATAAGATAATAGATCTCTTCCTTGTAATCTTAGAACTTGAGTGAGCCAGTTTGGGGATTTGGGCTCAGATCTGACCATCCAAAGGCATGGACACGTTCTATGGAGGAAAGACCAGAGCACAAGCGACCTGGAAGAGCTGCACAGAGCAGCAGTCCCAGGAACTGCTGAGCCAAGAAACACCGCGGAGCAGCCTTAAACTGGTTGAGCATTTCCACTCTGGAGGTGCTGTGAGGGAGACACAGGTACCCACCTGGCTCACAGCAGACACCCTGCTGACGTACATCACAAAACCGGCACTGAATGAGTTCACCTTTTGTCTATAAACTCCAACGATCTGAGCGATCGCATAAAGCAGGAATGCATTTACTTTGGGGGATGGAGAAAAGAACTAGGGAAACTGGAGAGGTTTTTGACTCAAGTCTATTTGGTTTTGTGGCTACTTTTTTGTTATATAGCAAGAAAAACATTTAGTGGAATGAAAAGAGCTAAAAAAAAATAAATAGAAATAGAAATAAAGGCTCTTGAAAGTAGTGTGTGAAGGGGTAGTTCTAAAGTCTACAAAGCAAGACCTCATGCCTAGGCTTAGGCACAGAAAGTACCAGAAAACAGTAACTCTACCCTCATCCTTGCCCAAGAAAGCCATTAGATTGGAGGGCAAAGACCAGTCTTTTTTTAATTTTTATTTTTAATGCCAGTTTCAATAAATTCTGCCTTATTGGTACTCAAAGTTTCCTTGTGAATTAACCACACAATAGATGTAGTTTTCCCAACTTATTTCAAATACATATGATACATTTCTAATGACTATGTGTGTCTTAATTAGGAAATCGGGATGATTTAAGATTACAACCAAGGCTTAAGATGGAAGTGTGCACTTCTCACCTGCTGAGGGATTCATTCTTCCTAATGACAGTCCACAGCCAGAAGAATGGACCAGTCAGGAGGGGAGGGAAAGGCAGAGAAAGAGGAGAGATATAAGGTCAGAAAGGCTGATGAGGGGATGAAAAACTATTTACTCTAACATGCACTCTCTGGCTTTTTGTTAGTAATAACAAGTATGAATATGAATGACAATCACATCCAATCTAAGATTAGAAAGAAAAACTGAAGATTTTTTTTTTAAAAAAAGGCTCATGGTACATGCAGAGTTAGAAAAAAAAAAAAAAAGATTTTCTACAAAAGAAAAAAAAAAACCTTTACACATATCCACCAACCAGAAAATAGTGATGATAATAATAATAAAACTCCAAGATTATATTTATAAAAGCCTTTATTTTTCTCAAGCAGACAGTAGCAAATAGTATTCAAGAACTTAGGATAAAATGTCCTATTCAGGAGGCTGGAGAGGTGTCTCAGTGGGTAAGAGCACTGCCAGCTCCTCCAAAGGACCTGCGTTCCATTCCTAAAACCCATATGGCTGTTCACAACCTCCTGTAACTCCAGATCCAGGAGAGAGCTTGCTCTCTTCTAGAATCCCTGGGCACCAGGTACATATGTGGTAGATAAGAATACATGCAGGCAAAAACCCATACACATAAACATAAATAGACCAACCAAAATGTACATGCCATTCAATTATTGGATGCACAGCCCATGATACTTTTCAACAAGTTCTCTCTCATGCTATGCATTGCTACCTAACTTCACCAAGCTTATTCAAGCCAGGTGTTTACACTTTGCTTCACCCCGCAAAATCTTTCTTACCAAATGAGCTTAAGTGAAGCAAATATTGGAGAGATTCCCAAATCCTTCTATCCTTCCACCTAGCCTCTTATAAAGAGAAACATCCTAGTTTGCACTGAGCCTGGATACATTCCATGCCCACCCTTCTCTCTAAGTAGCCCCTCCAATGAGTGTAGGGCTACAATGGATCTTATTAATGACTGCTGTCATGATATTTGTGTCTCCTGCATGGTCTGAACTTGTTATAAAAGCCCACAAAAGTCATGCAGCTGCCTTTGAAGGAACAGCAACTGCCAGGAGCATTGCATGCCTTAAAAATGTACATCAATTGTTTTGTTTCATTTTGTTTCTCTCTATTGGATAAAAAGAACATTCAGACTAAAAATCTACCATTGTAGACTCTAAAATCAGAGCAGGCCATAAAGATGACTTGACAATGACATTTCCATCATGTTTGTTGGAAACAAAAACACCATACAAGGAGGTTGTCATACCTTTCTTGGGCTTTCCTGCATTTAACAAAAAAAAAAAAAAAAAAAAAAAAAAAAAAAAAAAGATAAAAATCTCATTCGTTCTAAAGCTTACAAAGTACAGTTGACAAGGTGCAAGCTGCATTTAAAAAAAGGCAACGACTTCTTGAGGAGTCCTCAGTTCTTGCCTTTGAACTCAGTTCCTTTCAATGTTTCTTGACTCACATTGTCAGTGCTATGAAAACAGTACTGATTGAAGAAGGCTTATACTTACACCATCATCCTTGATGTATCCATTACGAGTAGCAGCAAAAAAACAGTGCACTTTAGTTAATTGTGTACATAAAAACTAAATGATGAAGTCTACTAAATTTGACATAATGAAAACGTAGTAGATATAAATTTTGCAGACTGCAATTTTAATCACATTTGCTATTTTAATGACATCAACAAGTGCTGTGGAAACAATTCTAAATACATGATTCACCCCTCCTGGTCTCTGTGAGACACCCATATGGACTTTGTGTAAACTCCTGCCAATTTTTACCATCTGCTGTGGCTTGAAGAAATCTCATCCCTGGCTATTGCTCCTCTGGGGAGAGGAGCAGGGCTGAGTTCACAGAACACATTGGTCATGGTTCTTCAGAGCTGTCAATCAGAGGCCCATGAAGCTCTAAGCAAGTTGTTACTTTAGCAGGTACAGCAAAGCCTGAAGCTACAGTTTTCTCATGTGCACAGGAGTTACGGCAAAGGAGAACAAGAGCACCAAAGAGAGATAAGGCAGTAGACTTTGCAGTGCCTATATCCATAACATGACTTCAGAGATTGGTTTAGGTTCTTTACAAAACTACCCCATTATCCAAGGGTTTGAAATGCAGATTTGAAAAGTAGACCAGAAATTCCCCACCTTCATCTTCTCACAAGAACCCAGCTGCGTGGTGCTGCAAGCAATTCTCAACTTCATGGATCTAGTCATTTAGTAGATCCAGCTTTCCATGCTCTCCAATTTAAAAAAAAAAATGTTTTTGGTACTGTGTTGTGGAATATTAATTTAAGATGTGTTACATTTGTTTTTGCTATGGAAAATGTGTTTAATGATGCAAAGATGTGTTGCATTCTTTTATGATGCATTTGTTTAATTCTGTGAAGCTGTGCTACTTTGCCTGCCTAAAACACCTGACTGGTCCAATAAAGGGCGGAACCATCAACAGCTGTACAGGAGAAAGGATAGGCAGAACTGCCAGGCAGAGAATAAATATAAGGAGAAAAAGAAAAGGAGGGTCAAAAAAGGAGGAGAGGAGGATGGCAGAGGCCAGCTACCCAGTCATACAGCTAGACACAGAATAAGAAGGAAAGAAAAGATATAGAGAAACAGAAAAAGGTAAAAGCCCTGAGGCAAAAGATAGATGGGATAATTTAAAATAAGAAAAGCTAGCAAGAAACAAGCCAAGCTAAGGCAGGGCATTTACAAGCAATTATAAGTCTCTGTGTGTTCATTTGGGAGCTAGGTGGTGGGTCCCCAAAGAGCAAAGAGGTAAGAGTAGGAAAAACAAAACAAAACAAAACAAAAAAACCAAAACCAACTACAGTACTAGGAATAGTTATTTCTGATGCAGATTCCCTTTCCTCGGGGCTCTACCTTTTCCTAAAGCTCAGTAACACTAATAGCTCATGCATATGCAGGATAAAAAGTTCATGAATACGCAGAAAAGTCTCAGCTGCATGGCCACTCCAAGTTTGGATGCCTTCCACTAGTGTGGAATAAACATTTTAAGGGAAACATAGTTACAGAAAAATAGTTCAATAGGGAATAGATTTGACCTTCAAGTTAACAGACATGAGAGCCAAAATAGATTTCCATCCTTATTGTGAATACTAAGAAGTATTTTATATTCCTAAGAAATTATAAGTAAAACAGAAGTCTATCAAACATGTTTTATTTAAATATTACAAATATAAACCTCAAATAAACACTATAGCCTACCTTAACTCTTTTTTTTTTGCTACCTAGCTCAGGCTAGCCTTGAATTCCTGAAACTTTCTGCCTCCGTTTTACCACTTCCAAGAAAGGAGATTACAGGCATATGCCACTTTGCCCAGCTTTATTAAGTCCTTTCTTTTGAGACAAGGTCTCACTCACTATGTAGCTCAGGTTGACTTAAAACTTGTGATCCTCCTGCCTCAGCCTCCTGAAATACAATATTTACTACCGAGAAAAAATATTAATGTTTGCTCCATTAACTCATTAAATCACATTTAATGCTAACCTGAAACCTCATCCCAGTAATGTATATGTAGTATGTGTGTGTATATATGTACACACACACACACACACACACACACACACACAGTGATTATACCCTAATACCATCAGTAGAGAAGCCCACCAATTAGAGTTCAATTTTAATTTGCATAAAGGGAAAAATTTTAATCCATTAATTCATGAATGCATTTGATGGTCAAAACCTGACAGATTTTTCCTTTATATCTTCAATAGACCTCCACCATTACATTTGACATTTTATTAAAATCACCTGTTATGTGTCTCCATCCTTTCCCTCTAGACTCAAAGTATTTCAAAGTTAAATAATATGCCATTCATTTGCATTCTTGGTGTCTAGTACAAATCTGCTAAAAAATTAAAGCTAATATGAGTTATTGTTGTAAACTACTGTACTAACACAGCAACTTCATTTCATTAAGAGTCTTGCTTCTGGAATGATACTGTAGTAACTTTCACTTTCCCTTAAAGACTATTTGATAACCCTATTTCACATGTAATATGTTGTTTTAAAGAACATACACCAAGAACCCAGATCCACCTAAAACCTAAACACACAGCAGAAGGTCTCAAGCTTACAACCAAAAGGCTCAAAGAAATTCTCTTCTGGGCCTATTAACCATGTGGTCATTTAACAGTGTCAGCCACAGACAAGCCTAGTGATTCGGTGAAGTACCCTGGAAATTTCTCAGTATTTCAGTGATTTTCTTTCTTTTCTTGTCTTCTCTCTCTCTCTCTCTCTCTCTCTCTCTCTCTCTCTCTCTCTCTCTCTCTCTCAAATGGGAAGGTTAGTAATTCTCTCAAGGCCTTTCGAGTGTGGAAGTTTGACTGAACTTGTAAAGCACAACTGGTGTGTTTACAATGCACTGGCCATATGTGCAAACAGAGAAGTGTTACCGTGTTACAAAGGTGATGTCACACACGTCCTCTCCCAAAGGCAAACATACTAATAGTAAAATTTAGGACATGGTTGATCTTCCCCCTAGCACCTTCAACTTTGTTCTCATCACCTCTCCCTGGAGAATTCCCATGCTTAAAAGAAGACCATGATAGGTGATTTAAAGGGTGCATACCTCTGAGCATCCTCCGTGATTCCGAGTCCTTGGTCATTGTTGCCAACGAGTGGGGGAGCACACTGCCACAGCTGTTGCTCTGGCCCAAAGGCAGGTGAGCCTGAGAGAAGTGGAGGGGGGCGCAATTCAGGCAAAGTAGACTGAACATCAAATGGTACCCAAGGACATGGTCACACTCCTGTTTTGAACGCTCCTCTCTAAGTACAGGGGGAAGAGCTGTTTGCTCTTAAGTCCCACTTCTTGATGCCAAAAGGTGAAGGCTAGCCACCCACTGTTGCTCTCAAGAAACTCTACTGCGGTCTCCGAATCACAGCACATCTTTCACCAGCAACAATTTCAAAAGAGAACATGGGTGGAGAAAGACACTGTTTCGTGAGAGTGACGGAAAGCTCCTCATGCATAAGGTACAGAGGGCAGGTGCACGGCCAGGGATGCATGCACACCATGCAAAACCACAGGGACAAGCTGTCCATGCCCAAATGGTATAGTCTCTCTGCTACGCTGAAACCCAGTAAGAGCCACTGGCTTTAGCACATTTCCTTGGGTATTTGCTGTTTGTGATAAGGTCTTGCTCTATAGGCAAATTCATACTGAGCCCCTCTTCAGCCTTCACAGGTGTCCTCACCATGTACAGCTCTTAATCTTTTTAAATAGAGAAATCTATGTAAATCTAGTCCGTGTGAATGAAGTCCATTTAAAGCACCATTTTGTAAAATAGATTACAATACAGTTACTCTAATTATGAATATGAGAAGGGCTGAAGGTCTATCCCACTAAAAGCTTCCCCTCTACTCCATTCTCTCTTTCTAAATAACCCCCTGAACATGCCCGCAGAGGGCACAGGTGTCAGATCACTAGTGTTCATAGTCTGACTCCTCCAGTTTCCAGCTGAGGGATCTTGGGTTGTCACTTAGCTTCTTCTCCCCGTTCTTCTTGAGTTTATCCACTACTAGGGTGGTGACGAGTAAGCATTTACATAGTGGTGCTAGGTTCACATAAAGGGCTAACCCTGGTGCCATGCTTGCAGACACTGCCTGCTAACTATTGAGTACTGTTATTCCTGAAGCTCGGAGCCTATGTTCTGGGTTACTTCTAAATATGGGTACAGCCAGAGGGCATCTGTCCTATGAGTGAAGAGTACCCACCATGTGTACGGTGGTTGCAGAAAATACATTCTTTAGCCCAGAATGTGCAATTCTGGATACCCTCAGAATGGGACAGAAGAAGCAATTTAGTTATGACATCTGCCCAACAAGCAAATGTAACGACATAGTATTCAGTTATTTTTGCATTTGAAAGACTTGGCCTTTGTTGGCAACCACAGCAAGATGTTACAGAAAGAGAAGGCCTTGGCTCTTCTGAGTCCTACCTTCGGGGTGCTGTCTCTCCCCATGGTGGCACTGCTGAAGTGTGGGGAGACGGAAGGTGTGGTTTTCTTTCGAGGCAAAGTGTCACTCAGATAGAGACCTTCTTTGTGCTGTTTTTTCCTTTCTTCCAGACTTCTAAAGTGCTTTAAAAGCAAATGCAAAGCAGAACGGCAAAACTTGACTGACTGACACACATCATTGCCACAGGGAAGAAGCAGGGTGCTCGCAGAGGAGCTTTGAAGTTGAATTTTGAAGTTTCTTTCACATTAACAGATCAGAGTTAACTCTGGGTGTGACGAGACATGGGAAATTATTATTATTATTGCCCTATGACTTTTATTTTCTTTAAGAGAATCCACCTTTTACTTCTATAGTGCTGTTTACAAATTGCTGCATCACACCATTGCTGTGATGGTCCCACTGGGTGGATGGAGGAACAGCAGATGGACAAAGCAAGCCAGGGATTCCCTACTCCCTGTGTCTGTTTAGAGAGTTCTGTGTGGTGACACAGACGCCAGTGAGGGAGATGAGAAGTAGGAAGTGGGAGAGGATGAAGAGAATGGACAGTACCAGGACAGTTGTAAAATAGTAACCCTTCATATCACATTATACTCCAAACCAATGTAGATGGCTTCCGTCTGGTACTTCTATTTTAAAAGCTCATCATGGTCAAGGAGATCCCATAATAATCTCTCATATTTAAATGCTCCAATAGACTACTCCTTCCTTCTTTCCTTCCTCCCTCTCTCCCTCCCTCCCTCCCTTCCTTCCTTTCCAATCAGATTTCTAGGGCAAGATTTTTACCACCTTAAAACATCCAAATTTTGCTTGACCTCTCTACACTCCTCAAAATGTCTTGGGATAGTAAAACGACGTCATAATAAAGTATCCTTTCTTTAGGTCACTTTAGTGCTAATCTCGGGCTTTTGAAATACATAAAAGCTAATGTATGCTAGTGGTGTTAATGTTTGCATTTTAATGTTATAACGATATATTCCTAGCAGCTAGTATTTATTCAGAGCTTCCTATGGGCCAGGTTTGATGTTCCACGTTCACGATCTCATTCGGCTCTTCTAGCAATCTTCTGAGGTTGGTATTCTTTCTGTATTTCCTAAGTGAGGAATCTGGGGTACAGAGATATTTCATAAGCTTGCCTGAGGTTCTGCAGCCAGAAGGTGGCAGAGTTGGAATACATGGGGCCAGAGAACCCTCATCATCATAAAACCTCAACAATGATTGGGTGACTGATTTCAGTTAGAGAGCAGCATCAGAATACTTTTTGTTATCACTGTGACCAAATGGCATAAGTTCCTAGGCTTTGACTTTTCAGAATTCGATAAACTAAGTAAGATACTGTATTGAAATTGGTCTGTTAATACTGGGCATAAGGCTCAAAAACTGATTGTTTTGCCACCAAAGGTGTTGTGTGTCCTGAATGAAGGTGCTAATGAGGTTAACATCACATTAAAACGAAAGGCAAGTAATGCTTTCATTCTCCAGGTTCATCAGTTACTTGACTCAACTCTTTCACAGGTTCTGTTTTACATCAGTGCAGATGACAGTAGCAGGAGACACAGGCCTTTTACAAAGGTACCAAGTCTCAGATGGACAGAAATCCTTTTCTACAGGGTCAGTAAAAGGATGGAGAGTTGTAAGGGGCTTAGCAAATCTGGACAGAGCACTGGAATGACATCTACTATTACAGCTTCAATAACATAATAAAAATGTGTTGTCACAACTTTTTACGCTATGCATTTTATGGAAACACTTGTTGGCATATTGAGAAAGATGTGAGACAAGCCTCACTATCTTGTTGAATGGGAGCTGAAAAGCATGATGAAACATATCAAAGCTTTAATAGCCCCAGTACCCTTAGCTCACACTAAATATCTCTAAGAAGGAGGTAAGAAAGAAAACTACTCTGCAGCTTGCCTTTCCAAAAAAAAAAAAAAAAAAATCAGCTTTGGAAAAGACAAAGATACCGTATCAATGATGCTTTTATTAAGGTAAAATCCCCAAGCTCTGTCCACCTTTCAAGTTACCTGTTGCTCCAGCTGCTGCTGCCTTCTGTGTTTCTTAGCTGGCAGAGGAGGAGGGGTATCATTTAAAGGGAAAGAATCGACAGATGTAGCCATGACTTCAGGCCAAGGGGCTGATGAAGGCTGAGTGACAGGATGGAGAGAAAGGGTGGAAGGAAACATAGATCCGGAAGAGACAGCTGACCTTGGCTTTAGAGGAGAAAGAAGAGGTATACACAGACCAGCATGAGATGAGAGGGCTAAGGAGGCGGACATGAAATCCATAATCTGGTTGTTTAGACTGATGGTGTACAGGCACAATCTTCCAATTTAGCCTCTTGTTAAAATCCCACCCAGCAGGGAATGCGATCAGTAGAAGGTAATTACCTTTCACTTCACTGGCCACTCCCAAGAGTGCTTAACATTAAGTGTTATGCTTAAGAAAGCATAACAATTAAAGCATGATTCAATATTGCCAGGCAAAACAGACAACAAAACCCATCAGAGAAAGGTGAGTTTGAATCTAAGAAAACTAGGTTTGGTTATAATGCTAAGACATAGACCTTATTTGTTGGCACTTATGTCTAGCCCTAAAGTATTACCACACATTTCATGGTTTCTAACATTTTTAGTGTAGAACAATGTACCTTCCCCCCACTCCAATATGGTCTAATTCATATACTCAACATTTTTCTGGCCCTTTGGAACACAGACATTCATTTTGCTAATTTTCAGTGAACTGTGGGTTAATTTCTGACATGAGAAAAAGCAGTGAATGAATGAATGAATGAAAGAAATGCATGCCCACACACCTCTGAACTCTGGGGCTGGCTCACCGGCACAGCCAAGGCAGGCTCAGTGACAGCAGCATCAGCATCAGCAGGGAACTGAGTGGAAGGGGATAGATTCGTGGAATTGTCACATGACTCATTAATCTCATTTACATTGACATAGCCCTAAAAGGAGGAATTCAGAAGTTAAACACAAAGAAAGCAAAAGCTGAGGCATGCGAGAGGATTAATGTTCCCAGTACAATGAGTTAGCTGAGCACATCACAGCCAGGTACCTGGGCAATACTCAATGTCTCATGAAGTGAATGATCAGCAATGAAAATGGATTTGCAGTGCTCAAAATTGAAAAATGTCATTCAAAGTATTAACCATAATTTCTGGTGAAATCAAGATGACCATATGATAAATATCCAGAGGTCTCAGCATCACTCTGTCAACGAAATGTTATTATCTCTACACATATACTGAACAATCACATACACAATAGACAGTGTAACCACTCACTCTCTGATTCACAAGTTTTTTTCCACAAAGATGCATGGTTTTTATTTTCTCTTTTGAAAATTACAACATCAGAATAAGTGGGTTGATGGGCTACTGGGTTTTGCATCAAGAAAACATTTATAAAAATAGCAACTTAGTTTTAGTGGTATTTTGTTTTGGATATTTCAGCTCAGAAAGAATAAGAAGGATATTCTTTACAGAGTTGCAGCCTATCACTGAGTAATGCTACCACTCAAGGCAATTTCTCCAATGCAAACTCTGTTTCTAGGACAGAGACGTTCTAGTTACTTTGAACTCAGTGATCCAGTTCCATCTGTAGCTTAAAGAAAATGCCCATGAATCAAAATCTCTCAATCAAAATGCTATCTTTGTGGAAAAGGCACTCAGCATGATTGTCATGGAAAGTTATTACACAAGTCAATCGAGATTTTTGTCACATCAATGAAACATCTGAAACACAGGATAAAGCATACAAAATAACAGTTCTTTGAAAGTGGATTCAATTTGACCTTGGGGTTCCATTTTTATATCATTAATGATGGAGACACTACTATGATTTTCAACAAGTGACTCCATGCAGCAAGAACTCTAACCTGGAAATGAAAGGTTTGTATGGACAACCCATCATTACAGCAAAGCAGGGAAAATTAGAGCTGATTATTACCAACCAATGTCCTAAAGTCTTGCAGAGCAGAAAGGGACACAGGTATTAGGTGATATTTTATGCAGTTCAACTGAAGCAAGGGGTAAATTAGGCTGTCCAAATTTCATTTTGTCTGTGGTAGTGGATCAGAATGGAAATTATGTTTTTGCTGGGTTGATATAAAAGCTTTAAAGTTGGGCTTTGAAAATTCCCTTTTGTGAGTATTAGGCCATACAGTTTAATTGATTCAAAGAGCTGTCTCTGTGTCAGATGCAGGTGATCTGTAAGAACCTGGTAAAGTGATCATTCTGCAGAAGGAGGCTGGCAGAGAAAAGAGAGAAAAAGAAGGTGAAGGCAAAAAGATTGGAAACTAGCAAATCAAAACACCCTACCAGTCAAGTCATCATATTACATGTTGAGAACATGCAGATACTGGACAGATATTGTACAGACACACACACAAAGTAGTCAAAAAGTAAATAGACCTTTAGACACCCAAGAGTCTTCAGAAAAAGCAAAAGCCAACTCATCAATATGACAGGAGACATTTTTGCCCATTGGGGGGTAGACAGAAAGGATTAAAGGCCCATGTAATCCATTTGCTACCATTTGCTACCCTCCCTCAGGGTCAACCTCCATGTTTCCCTATAACCTACTCTTGCCTCATCTTTGGATACCCCAGCAAGAAGCATTAGCCATTCACCTCACCCAGAAATTGGGAACATGCATCATTCTCGAATGTTCCTTTGTCATCTCACCACAAAATCCAATGCATCATCAAGAACTTTCAATTCTATTTGCAAAATACATATAAATCCAACCAGCTTTCCATCTCACTGCCATTGCTGGAATCTAAGCTCTATCCTGCACTACTGGAGCCATTTCTGACCCAGTGATTTCTGAATGGCCCAGAGTGAGCTTTACAAATGTATATCAAATGTCACATCTCTACTTAAAACCATTTAGAGGCTTCCCAGAACACATAAGCAAGCTGTGTTACATTAACACAGCTCACAAGGCCTACCTTACACCTTACTGATCTTATCTTATTCCTATATGTTTCATTCACAACCATAATCACCTCATTGACCTTGCCTATTATATGTTCCCAATAATGAAAACTGTGAAATGCTATGACCTAACAAAGCTTCTAGAGAAATATTTTTAAAATGCTTCTAAGATACAAACATGGCCACACTAGTCATTGTGATGGACATTTTATTTTGTATACCTGCACATGCATGAATAAGCATGTGTACACACACACACACACACACGAATTTTCTAGCTATGAATTCCTCACTCTGCTTTCCTATAAATAAAAGCATTCTTTTGGTTAGGCAAATTTTTAGGTAGCAACAATCCTTTTCCTTAGTTTATAACTCAATATAGAGAAAGTTACTTTATCATTGGCGTCATACTCTTCCACAGCAGAGTCAAAATGTCCAATCACAGCAGCTCTGGGAGAGAATATTTGGACAAGAGTGATACTGGGGACAAGAGGGTGATTGTTCAAGAGTATGTATGGCTAATGCAAATAGGGGCTTCCAAGTGAAGGGAAAAGTAAGATCAAAGGGGGGAAAAAGACAGCCATCTTCTCAAATACTTATGTTCTTATTCTATAAGACTCATGAGGCAAAGAAGAAAAGAGAAAAGAGGAAGAAAGGATGAGGAAAGGAGATGTGTCTTGACACACACACACAAACATGCACACACACGAAGATGACCCCTAGACTCCTCGAAACATAAATAAGGAATGACATGAAACTTATCAAGCATTGCGAGTTTCCCCAAGCCATTTAAGTAAGCTAAAGTTTTTATTAGTTAACTTATACAAAACTGAGGTTTATCTGATTTTCAAGTTGACATGAGAGAACTTATAAAACTGTGGCTTACCTCTTTCAGAGTACTGGGGTTAATAGGAAATCCTTTTCCTCCAGTGAGGCTGGAGTACTTCTTTTCCAGATGACAAAGATTCTCCTTTTCCTAAAAGCATACAAAATCTATTATACTGGAGACAAACATCAAAACCCCAGACATTCCCATTTCTATTTTATTCCCTCATACTCACTAAAGGCTTGTCACTACAGCTGTCTCACCTACTATTAGCTGATATGATGCATGCACAATTTCCCAAACATATTTAGTTAGATAACCCATCATTCAAGATGAATTTTACAAAGTAAAATACAAAGTATTTTCTCAAGGAAAATACAGGCTGTTCTAATTGAAGCAGAAAATGGCACCACTCAAGGGTTTCTGGAAGCCAACAGAGCAGGAAGAAGCTGCCAGGATGTATGAGGGATGCAGAGGCCTCTCAAGTGGACTAACAGTTTTACAAAAAGGTCCCGTCTCTGCTGTCATAAGCAAAAGTAGCTGAGAAGGGAATGCACACTTCTTGCTGGTGGGTATCATGGTCCACCTCATTCTGGACTCTGTCCTCCTCCTGCTCTCTGCTGTGGGGCCATCACATATTTCCACTACCTCAATACATGTCCCCAGGTTGTGGCTTTGACCTGAGATCCCATCAGCTTTAGTGTTTGGTGTCTTATATCATCAGAGGTGGCTACAGCTTTTTTGTTTGTTTGTTTCATTGTCTTCATCCAAGGAATCCTTTTTAAGAGTCACTTTATGGGGACAGATAAAGACACAGGCCCAAGGGAGGATGCTGGTGCTCTTCTAACCAAGCCATATGGAATATCTCCAGATTCAGCTAAGTCAAACTAAATTCAATGAGAGCTTTATGAGGAAGATCCCCACACACAAATAATCGCAGTTGGAAACACTGAAGGACTTGAGTCAAAATTTTCAAAGGCTGTATAAAGAATATTTCCCCTAAATCTACCACAACCTATTGTTAGACTACCTTTAACTGCCTGATGAAATGTATGGTTTTTTTTAAAATAGGAAATAAGAGAAAATACAGATTTGCCACAGTCTTTTTCAGTGATTAAAGGATATGATGGAAATCTCCCGATGACTGTCTGAGTCGTAGGTAATCATCAGAGAGTATTGTTACCAATGGGGAAGATGACACAGCAAGTGAAAATAAATGACTTTCTCCGAGTATAAAGTATGACACCAGAAGAGACTGCCGGTGCCCGGCCGGAAGTAGTGATTTCACTGTTGCCGCTGCCGAACAGGAAGTACTCACTCTTTGGAGCATCGTTATTAGATTGTTCTTTTCTTTCACGAAGTGATCTTGTTCCCTCTGAGCCTGCTGAACAATGTGACTGGCTTGCTTTTTCAATGCAGAAATTTTTTCCTGGGGAACAAAAGTAATCGTAGAAAGATGCACATGAGGCAATCAAAGGTTTACCAGTCTGTCCTGGGCAAAGAAGAAAAAGGGCTTTGGAGCCTGAATAACGCTGCTCACATTTTAGTTGCCAGTGGACCACCATGATCACCTAAGGCTAAGAAGCATCGGCCTTGACCGACCAAGCTCAATGCTTCTTGATTTACAGACAATGCTGTAAGTCACAGCACTTGAAAGATTATTCTTAAAAAAACAGAATTCAATAGGAAATCAGTTGATGTTTTTTAACATGCTGAAAAAAAAAAAAAAAATGAATTCCTCCGTCAAACCAGAAGTCACTTTCTTTCTCTGGCTTTCATCCTCTCCATCAACTTTATCCTTCAAGTTTACCAAATTAGTACAATGTCCTAAGGTAAGCTTATGAATTCTGGAATAAATTCGAGATGCATCTAGGTGCTATGGGCTGAGTCCACAGTAATCAGAATGATTTTCTACTAGTCTGTTGCTAATGGTAACGGGCTCCCAGTTAGCACTGGAGATTATTAATCAATGGGAAGAGAAAATTCCAAAATAGATTTTGTCCACAGAATTATTCTAACTCTAGTTCTTTCAAATGCCAGAGGGAGAGACTTGAAACAAAGAGCTGATTATGTGGGTTTTCATGCAAGTTAAATAAAAAGGGAGGGCTGTATTATGCATAAATACCTTTATAATATTAGAACAGTGACTGTAACATGTCTCGATTCATAGAGCATAGAGCAACATTGTTGCAGGGCAAATGTGATAAAACAAAAAGAATGCTCAGATATAGAGACCGAGTCTACGGCTATATGAATGACCATGATTACTGTAACACAGTTAATAGTAAATTTTCATGTTTTAACCTCCAGTGTCCCAGAGCAAATTACCTTCCTAGCGACGATGTTCCGCTGATACTCCGCCACCTCTCTCAGGAGCTGTTGAGTCAAGTTCTCCTTTTCCTCGTCAAGACGGCTCTCATGCTCAAGCTGCTGGAATTCCAAGTCTTCAAAATGTTTGCTCTCAACATCCAACAGGTCAGCATCCTTTGGAGAAAATGGAATGAAAATGAAGCATGCCAGAGTGGCTGCAGCCTTCCCAACATGAAGAAAGAGCAATTCAAAGTCCTCATTCCAATACAGATACCCGGTTACACACCGTGTGGGGCTAGAACAAGGTAAGGTGGTAGAGGTAGTAAGCCCAGCCGTGGTTGTTCCAGGGAAGGGTGGGGGTATGGTGCAGAGGGCACTTTTCACCAACAGTGGTTGTTTTTCCTGTGTAGGCAAATATTTTTCCTGTAAAGCCACTAGATGGATTTGAATGGACAGAGAAGTATAAAAATATTTCCAGAAACAATTAAACGTTATTTGTAGACCAGTCTCTTAAGAACATTATTGTTTCCCCTAGTTTTCATATGAATTAGAAAATAAAATAATAACAATAAAATAGCCCACACGTTAGTCCATAAGTAGATGAGAGGTCTCTAAAAGGGATAAACACACCAAATGTGGCAACACAATCCACTGGAGCACAAGGAGAAAACAGTAAACGTTTTTATGTTTAGTGTTTATTTTCCTTTTCAATTTTGTTTCCTCTTATCTCTTCTCTCTTTGTTTTCTTTCCTTGCCTTGCCTTGCCTCTCCCTCTCTCTGGACAGGGTCCCTCCAGTTCTCCTGTAGCTCACCAGCCTCCCGCAACTTCCTGAGCACTAGGATTACAGGCATATGCTATCATACTCAGCCGGGTTTCTTAACAATTGTTTTCTACTATACACACAAGAAGAAACGTATATATGTGTAAGTTAAAATATATAAATATTAAGCAGCTATGCAATAAATGTATTTTATGTACTATTATGTCATTGACTATATAATATAGAGAAGGGTTGCATGCTCCAGAAATTTGACTGAAAGGAGCCATCAGCAGCACCCGAATTTGAACTCTGTTGAGAATGCAGTAGTTTGGAAAGGAACTTTAATAATGAAACCTAAGCCTGTATGAGGGAAGGCATGTGGGAAGCCTCTGATCTCAGTTTTGCTGGGAGCACACAATTCCCTAAAATCTCATTTGGAGGGCTGGCGAGATGGCTCAGCAGTTAAGAGCATACATTGCTCCAGAGATCCTGAGTGTGGCTCCCAGCGCACCATGCTGGACAGCTTATGACTGCCTATAATGCCAGTTTCAGAGAGATCTAACACCCTCTTTTGGCATCTGAGTGTACCTGTACTCACATGCACGTATCTACACAGAGACATGGATAAACACACATATAATTTTTAAAAAATACATCTTTTTTAAGAGGCATTGGGAGAACAAGATGTTTTCCACCGACTCTTTATGGATCCATTACACTTGTGCACAAATCTCTTTCTTCATTGGAAAGAATGGAACCAAAGCTCTCATCAGGAAAGAGCAAGACTTTGCTGCTCCTGGTATATGTCAACATGACACAATTAGTCAGGACAGAGGAAGAACCTCAACTAAGAAAAATGCCTCCCTAAGTCTGAGCACTAGGCAGGCCTGTAGGATATCTTCTTAATTACTGATTGAGAGGGGAGGGAACACCCCTGGGTTCTCTAAGAAGGCAGGCTGAGCAAGCCATGAGGAGCAGGCCAGCAAGCAGCACTCCTCATGTGCATCAGCTCCTGGCTCCAGACTCCTGCCTTGTTTGAGTCCTTGCCTTGGCTTCCCTCAGTGGACTGTGACTTGTGACATGTACATCAAATAAAGCCTTCCCTCCCCAAGTTGCTTTGGTCATGGTGTTTGATCATAGCAACGGTAACCCTAACTAAGACAGAGATTCAAAAAGTTAGGCACCATTACTCCATGGATAATCTTGAAGGAAGATGATGAGAAGGAATATGCGTTCTTCTGCCTCCAAATGTTCTTAAAAAACATTTTTTGTGCTGGGGCTGGGACACACTGTATAAATTATTTTTGAGTCAATTAAAAAAAACTACTTCTTTACTTTTGGATCCACTAACAGAATTACAAATGTGGTCTGTGTAGCATATTTTTAAAATTATAACAAAAAATATTTGGTCAAATGAAGAAAATACTTAGGCAGTGTGGTTAACAGAGCTGCAGAGCTCTGGGGCGTTCCTTGCTGCTGTCGTTCAATTGATCATTAAAGAGAGTTTAAAGTAATGATTTGATAAGTCGTATATCACTATCTAACTCCTCCTCCTTCTGGGTTTTGTTTGCTGATAAAGTATGATTTTTTTATTCAAGTGGAATCTTTCTATCTCTGCAATAAATTATATTCTAGAGATGAATCATAGAAAGGCTGTTGGTTGCCATGAAATTACAGACAACACCATACCAACAAGGTTATTATGCTGATGCACACTGGATTTAAGAAGCATAGAGTAGGAAAAACACAATTTGAAAAACATTCAAAGTTGGATGTGGTAGTGCATGTCTACAATCCCAGCACTCAGGATGTTGAGGCAGAAAGATCTTGAGTTGTGAGACTCTTTCTCGGGCAGGAGGTGTGTGAGTGTGTGTGTGTGTGTGCGCGCGTGCGTGCGCGCGTGCGTGCGTGCATGCATGCGCACGTGTATGTCTGTTGGGTATTGGGGAAGAATGATACCAAATGTGTCTGGGCCAAATTTTAAGAAGTCAATTATGAATACATTTTAAGAGGATTTGAATACATAGACACACTCATTGGTTTTCCAAGGGTATCTCGATGTCTAGGCTTTGATTAACATTTTCAGCTTATTAAAATTGTTTAATTATAGGAATTAAGGGAGAATTCCAATGTTATCTTGAACAAAATGTCTGAAGTCTTGAAATAATGTACTAGATTACATATTTATTCATACAAGCACATATAATTAGGTTTTCAAGCTAGTCTAATTAAGCTCAATTTGGGGTTAAAGGTAATTAAGAGGAAAAATGTAAAGTCCCCTCGATGGCTTCTGAATCATTTTTAAAATGTGCATATGGCTCATAGTATACACCATACTAGCCAGCTGCTTACTCCACATGTGGTTACTATACAGCACGTGTCGTTTTAGCCCTGAAAGACAGCAACAGTCACCCATTAATTTGTAGTGAATATTTCAACTACTCAATGAAAATAATAGCGCACTTGGGGTAGAAAAGCTGAAAACTCATCCATGGGTTCTATGAGTATAACCATCTCCGCGGGCTACTTAGTGCATAGAAACACTGAAAGGAAAACTGTGTGTGTGTGTGGAGGGGGGGGGGTTAAAGCCTTTAAAAAGTTTAGATAATGAGAATTTGGGAATGGAGTTTGAGACAGGAGAATGGACTCAGGAAGCTCTCAGTCAAGTACATGCATAGCTGAATGAAAAAGGGAACAAAACTTTCACTCATTGAAAGGACAGCACTTGACACATCATCTCATCCTTTTACTGGCTGGCAGGTGTAAGGGCAGCAGGAGACACACAACAGCTGCACCAAGAAAAGAAAAATTTGGTGCCATTCCTTTTTTTTTTTTTTTTTTTTTTTTTTTTTTTGGAGAGTTTTTAAGGAAGACATTTACAAGCAGATCTTTAGTTTTCATTGTCCAACAGAGGAATAGAATGAGAAGAACAGGTGTGGTATGGCTGGGTGTGGTTGCAGAAATAATCTCAGGATGGGTTACGGCCAACTCTGGAGGTAAACTGAGATGGGACACAGCGTGTGTAAACTTCTCCCCACATCATGCGGTGGAGTCAAACAGTCCTGATGCCTGTGCGATATGGGAAGAGACAAGTGTGTCGACTTCCCGTCTTACACAGAAAGACAGTGAGGACAACAGGAGCTGTATAACTTTTCTTAGACTGTGGAAAACCAATTAGAGCCAATGATGGAAAAGGGGACTTCCAGTTATAGGTGTTGTTGCATAGAATTTGTAAAACCAAAAAACCAAGATCAACAATCTAGACCGTTGGTTCTTCATTTTCCAAATGCTGCCACCCTTTAATACAGTTCCTCATATTGTGGTGACCCCCTCCCAGCCATAAAATTATTTCATTGCTACTTCATAACTGTAATTTTGCTACTTTTATGAATCGTAATGTAAATATCTGACATGCAGGATATCTGATGTGTGACCCCTAAAAGGATCACAACCACCATGTTGAGAAGCCCCTGATCTAGAGGGACAGTAACTATAAACAACTTTAGAATGCCACCCCAGCTAGGTTTCTGCCTCATCCACTATCCGACAAATAAAAGGAACCCTTAATCTCAGCTTTCTCCTTGGTGCTGATAGCTGCCCAGGACTGGCAAGTCTCTCCGGACTAAATGGCAGCCAGGGGCCACATGTCATCGTCTACATGTTTGTTCTGATTGGATGCAGTGATTTGTCAGTAAGGTGTCACGAGTGCACAAGACATTTCAGCTGGGGTTTTCAAGACAGCACACAGCTTAAGTATTTAATTATCCTCTTATTCCTTTTTATTCCCTGCAGCCTGCCATCTAGTGGAACATGCTGCCAGAAAATAGACTATTGGTTCTAGTGTTATGCCTCGGGGAAGCTTTTTGCAGGCTGAAGAGAAAGAAATGTGCTGTAACAACACAGGGGATGCTAATAGGGAATGAACTTCCTGTGGAGGGAGAAACTTCTACTGGTTAGGTCAAGAAACTGGTGAGGAGCTAAACAGACATACAGCCTCCACAGCAGAATTATGAGGTCTCTTACTATGAGGGGAGCAGATGCTACCACAAGTTAAGGCAAGGGCTTATGATCAGATTTTTTTTCTTCTGTTTGGAGAGGATGAGGAAGGAGTCTTTTTTGTTCATATATTTTTTTACGTGATGGAACGAACCACTGTTTATATCATTCTCGTCCTTCCCTTGAGTTATAATTCCTAGAGCATATTTAGATTTATGAGTGATCATAGAGAATCAGCTACCTCAAGTGGAATCATAAATTGTTACTCACTTAGGACTAATTAATATTCCTGTGATTCCTTGAGAGGCACAAGACTGATCATGCCTACTTCCCAGGGATCACTGTTGATTTGGACTGCTGGTTCAGAGATGACCCAGTTGTCAAATGCTCGGAAATGATATGTGGCTGAGCCAGCACTTGTGAAGTTATCCACTTATGAAGTCTCTTTCCAAAAAAGAAACCAGCAGGTACCATTAAACTCTACCAACATGAGGAATGGGAGAGTGAGCTGGTAACAACTTTCAGCTAGCAGGACCCTTTTAAAATTTAAGACGCCTATGTGAGATGTCAAAGGTATCTGTAATACTCTGCATCTTTGATCTTGATGTTTAATTGTTGTCATCATGCTAATAAACTCAATGTCTCTAAATCCCAGGAAGAAAAATGTAAAGGCTGGGTGCAAATAGCATAGGTTAATTTTTAAATAAGAGCTTAAAATCAAGCTAAGAAGAAAGACATTTAAGGACAAACAGTACATACGATCCAGTAGAGGAAGATGCTAGTTGATTTAAATGCTACAATCTTGGTGACAATTACATGTCTGGAACAATTTCTCCTTAGTTATCAAGAAAGTCTCCAAAAACATTTTTGCATTATAAACAAGAGACAGAAGTCTAATAAGGACTATTTTGGCTGGTTGACATTGAACCATACACACTGTTAGCATGCATTTTTAAAGATTTCAGAACTAGAATTTGGGCAAATGTGAAGTGGTAAGTCACAGATAAGCGCAACTTAACAGCAAAGAAAAAACAAACCAAACAAGCAATGCATTCCTGCTTGCTACTGACCCTCTTGAGTTGTTGCTGTAACTGCTCCCTCATGGACTCAGGACAATTGTCCAGCTGGGTCTTCTGCTCGGAGTAAAGCTCCTGAAGCCTCTCTAGCTTTTCCCTCTCAGCATCAAGCTTTACCTTCTCCTGAAGTTCAGAATCAGAAAATAGAAGAACAGAACATTAACCTTCACACCCCAGGCAGGTGCTAGTGAACATTCCCCGGTGGTGGTAACAAACAGGCACAAGCATACACTAGGAATGAACAAACAAAGCTTGTTAGTGGTTAGGGCAAAGACATAAAAGCAGAATGGAAGACCCTGCCTCCTTTAGTCAGTCTCCTTCAGCTGGTATTGACAATCACCTGCCAACGTCCCTTCCCTCCTTCCTTCCACCACATCCAGGGGGCCAATGGGAATGGCAAGTGCTGGCCACTGGTCCACAAGGAACAAAAGAGGTGTTAACTGTACCATACGCTATCCCAGCCAAGAGTCCTTTGTCAGAAAGCTGGATAAAAGAGCGGCAGTTTATTTACCTCGAAGAACTGTCATGATCCAAACCGCTAGAGTATTTGCTAGACTATTCAGGATTTACTGCAGCCTGTTCTTGGGTCAGAAGTGGCTGTAGGCACACTCCTGGCAGCCTTTTCATCTGAAATGGTTCTAGCAACACAGAAAGCTCTGAGATAAACCAAGAACATCCAGAGAAAAGATATAGCACAGACAGCAAGAGAGAGGAGAAACGATTGCCAGACTGATTCAAGCAGCAAAGAAGGGAAATCAAGCAGAACGGACACAAGGCAGACCCTGAGCCTGCAGACAGTTTCCTGACAATGCCACCCCATTGAAAGAAAGAAACGGTGAAGAGATAGACTATGAAATGAAGGAGAGATACCAAGAGCCAGCAAAGAAAAGAGGGAAGAAACTGTTAATCCCTCCGTCTAAGACATGCCCAAGTGACTTCGTGATATTATTGGTATATACTATGTGCAGTGGTGGTGTGGCCCCATAGGGCCCCTCTTGAATTAAACAGTATTTTAAGGAAACTTATGCAAGGTACTCTCATAGAGTACTCTCATGCAATTCTAAATGACCTATGCCTCTTCTATAACAAAAGATCCCTTCAAAAGATGAGGATTTCAAATATAACTGAAACATCGTCCTTTCTGTAATTTTTTTTTTTATAAGAATGGCCACGATTCCCTGCATAAATGCATATCTAGATTCTTGAAAAAGATGTTATAGTTCAAAAGCTGTGATATTAACATCCATCTAGGTTCAGGCAGGGCAAGTCTCCATTTTTTGGGGGGGTGATTTTAAATTTTCAAAGGTCTTTTATGAATCTGTTTTATTTTCCTCCAAATAATTGAACCAGGAAGTCACAAACTCTTAAATCCAACCCCATTTATCAATCTAGGATAATTCCACAACTACATTAACAAACTATAAGCCCATCCCTCCAAGCTTCAGCAAGCAGTCCACCTGCTCTCAGCGTGGCTAGAAGAAAGCCAGGGTTACAGCCAACAGAGAAGCTCTGCACAAAGATCACGATACTACAGTCCCTGCTAGGTGCACTCATTAGTTGCAGAATCAGTATCTGTCCCTTAATGTAAACAGCAATGCATAACACTTGCTGATTTCTGTCTAAGAAAATGTTATTTATTTCCAGTGGATCAAAGACAGTTTGATTTAAACAGAAGAAGAAACGTATCCAAAAAGAGTTCCATTTCTAAATACTGTGTCATCAGACTTGGCAACAACTCTAGGTCTAGATAGATAGTCAACAAAATAAACAAACAAACAAAAAGACTACACACCCTATGATTAAATATCAAAGGGTCAAAGACCTGCAATGTAAAGTTATTCCGGTCGGATAGAGTAATGTGATATTAGGATATTGGGTAATAAGCAGAAAACCACTGGTCTCCAACTCACATCTCAAATCCAAAGACACTACCAAATCCTTGCTCTATGTGATCAGCAATTCAAATTGTTAATAGTAAACACAAATAAATAACTTGTGAAGGAAAAGAAAAGTACCTCACGTTTACATAATGCCTTCTGTCTGAGATGCTGGAAGCCTTTCACAATTCCATACAAGGGTGCAGTTAAAAGAATTATGCAAGCAGGCACCATTAGAGCCTTCTGCAGCTTCGATGTGTGTTACCAGGAATGCTCTGACCACTGCATTGGTCCCAGAGCAAAATCTTAGTGGGACCAAAGCCAGGGCAAAGGAAGCAAGAGAGGGGAAGGATGCAGGGAGGATTAGTGGCAGGTGGGCTCACACTGACCACAGGGGTGACATCACTCCCCGGGAGCCCTGGGTAGAACAACTTTGAGCCAGAAAGAAATTAATATTCCTCTGTTCTATTGATAGTGCAGGAAGTCTTCAACTGAAGGACTTAGTAGCTAACACTTCACCTTCCACAGGGAAGGGAAAAACAAGTATTCCAGAGTTCAGGGATTCTTGCTTTTCCCATGTAAATTATTAAAATGGTGCATTATTCCCTTCCCTAGGCTCATGCGAATAAACACCCTATTCTAAAGACATAGTGGTATTTTCCAAACACCAAAGTAGAAATGAATATAATGTTTTTTTTTTAATATTTATTTTTCTTTTAAGATTTATTTCCACTTTAAAGAAATAAATGACTTAAAATGTAGCAAACTTTGCTTTGTTAAAAAAAAAAAAAAAAAAAAGCTTATATAAAGACAGGGAATTCCCCAGCAAAAGACCCAGTTTACAAGGAGACACTCATAAATCCAAGAGCAGAACGATGTGACCTCAGAGGTTGGCTGCTCCTTTAGGGACCATTCTCTGTTCTGGGTTGGCCTTGTTTTCTGGTGACGCTTGGGCAAAATTCAGCCGTGTCAATGCCCACAGCCTGCCTGTTTTGAACATTTTAAGGAAGCTCTTCCTAAACTTTCCTACTCATATAGAGTTAATGGTAAGTTATTCACAGGTAAACTGATGCAGAAATCATTGTATAAATGTTGGCTTGTGCAGTTGTCCCTCAGTAACTGCAACAGATTTCTTCTGGGACTACCAAGGTTAACAAAGTCAGTGCATGCTCAAGCCTTTTATGAAATGGTATAGCATTTGTATGTAACCCTCCTGCATAGCTTAAATCACCTCTAGGTTATTATATTTAATACGATGCAAGTGATGCACAGTTGTTATACGGAATTGCGCAAGCAATAATGACTGGGAGGTCTACATGTGTTTAATACAGATGTTGGTGGTTGTTAATATCACTGACTCTTGGGATTAGCTGAATCTGTGGGTGTGGAATGCAAGGATGCAGACAGCTGGCTATATTTGTTGTTATAGAGGATTTGTTCATTCACTCCATTAAGACCAAGAGAGAACTGGAGATAGACAAAAGAAGGGTCAGTCATTCTCCTTTCTCTGCAAAATGCATTTAGTCCTTTTCACTGCCCTGATTGCTCATTAGAATAGCACAGCAAGGATTTACAGATCCTATTTCCAAACCTTGACTCAGTCACAAATACAGAGATATAAGACAGACTAAGAAACCTTTCAAAAAAAAAAAAAAAAAAAAAAAGAAGATCCCTCTCTCCTTTCTTCCATGTTGCCAGATTGGGAACCCCTAACTTAGCCATCTGGGACTAGGAGAGGCAATTACAATTTCATATTTCTAATGACACAAGCCAGTAACTTAAATCAATCAAATAGTGTTCCTATGGGCTAGGGGCTAGGGAAATGACTCAAGTTTGAGGCCCTGAGTTTGAGTGTCCAGAGCCCATGTGAGGCTTATGTGACAGCATGTGTCGGGAATGCCAACAGTTCTCCAGTGAGAAGCGAGTGGAAAGAGGAGTGAGCATCTGGTAGCTGATGGGTTAGCTGGCCTGGTGTGTGCTGAAGCCAACAAAGATTTTGTCTCAACCAAGAAGGACCAAAGAAGGTAGCCTTCTGCCTCACAGGAATGTCATGGCACAAGTGTACCCACGCTCTCATGGAACACACGCTCCAAGAAAACACCTTCCTAAAGTCATCTACCCTGCTGTCCTAACTTCAGAGTGTATAAAGTCTCTCTTAGGAGTAAATTCCTAAAGAATGAATCCTATTGCCCAATAACATCCAGAAAGGAGGACAGAGTTCAAGTTCAGGTACCAATGAGTATTTTTGAATCACACAAATGACCAGGAGTGTGCTTAAGTTTACTCTAAACAATTTGCATTTATATGTAAGAGTGGCCGATATTCAGTAAACAACAACAACAAAAAACCTCAAGAGCCACATAGAAGTATTTATCTTGCTAGATCTTTTGGTTAGAAGACTGACATGAATTTTCTTTCTTCTAGGCTGTATTCTTGAAGGTCAAAGCTGAAATGTAACTTGCTGACTTTCTGTGAATTCTAACAGCATACCAAAAATACCCTAAGTACAATAATGATCACTGCACCACATATAAGCCTCCACTGCACTCTCCATAAGCAAGTGGTTCAAGGTCACCCTGAAAATATGCCAGACAAAATAAAGGGTATCCTGATAAATCTGATTGCAAATGAATAACTCATATTTTAGTGTAAGCATGATCCAAGTATTGCCTAGGGTATAGATTTAAAGACTTGTTCTCGGTTTACCTGAAATTCAAGCATAACTGATTTTTCTGTACTTATATTTGTTAGTTCTCCCATTTCTACTAGCTTTAAAGAATGATATCACATGTACATGCACTTGGATACTCACAGAAGCCAAAAGAAGGCATAACATCCCCTGGCACAATATCCCCTGGTATTGGCTGTTGTGAGCTGTTCTATGTGGGTGCTGAGACCTGGAGTCCAGCCCTTTGCAAAAACAGCAAGTGCTCTTGACTGAGGCATCTCTGTAGCCCTTACTGATAGTGCTATTGCATTTCCAGGCTTGTGAGGTTTCCCCAGTATCTATCAATGGTTTATCATTGAATTTCTCTGTAGTGGGCTATCACAATATTATGGACTGAATCCTCTAAAAAAAAAAAAAAAAGGGAAAAATGGTATCAAGAAGTAAAGTCTACTCTTGTAATTTTCAAATGCTTTAGCTCAGACCACAGCACAAACACACAGTAGGCATTCAGGACTGGCTCAGGTTTGGAGCTGATGCAGCAAGGTGTTAAATCTAAGATGTAAGCCATGAGTGCTGAG